CTCACAGACGTGTCCGTGTCTGCCTGAGCCTTTTGCTTTGGAGCTGGTATCCTGGACTCCCTGCAACGTCATCAATATGCAAAAATAGGGCTCTAGGTGAAAGGAATTGCGTTTCTGCTGTGCCCCCTGCCTTCAGATACGCGATCTCGAGCTCACGTTTTCTCAGCAGATTGGATGTCTCCTGCGAGGGTTTTCCACTCTTTCACTAGCAGACGCTGCCGAGGGGTTTAAGGTTTCAGCCCACCCACCCACCCACCTGCCCACCCAACCCTCTGTCCTCCAGCGTCTTTTTTGTTTTCAAGTGACCCTTCTTTTCAGTTGTACACTCGTCTGAGAGCTTCTGGATCTCCGCATCCCGGGCCTGGACCACTTTCACTTGATCCTGCGAGGGTGTTTCTGCCGAGTGTGACAGGTTTGGGGCAGTGGACAAGGGACATGCGTGCAGCACAGGAACCACCAAGCACACCAACCTTTAAGGATGGAATCAACCCACACCCAGTCCTCTAGCTTCTGCTTGGCCACTCTGGCTTGGCGTTCCGATTCTGTCAGCTGCCGCTTGCGCTCGTCAGAATCCTTGCCCAGTTTCTCAATCTGAGCACGCAAGTCCTTCTCCTGCACGGCGAAGCTCCGATTGGCCTCCGTCCACTTCTTCTCCTGCTGGTTGAAATTGAAGTTGGCCTGCTTGTATGCAGCCAGTTCTTTGGTGTGCTCCTCCTTCAGCCTTTGATTCCTGCTCACACTTGCATCCAGTTGCTCTTGCTTCTCCACCAGTTCTTTGGTGTGCTCCTCCTTCAGCCTCTGATTCCTGGTCACACTTGCATCCAGTTGCTCTTGCATCTCCAGGAGCTGTTTCTCTAGTTTGAGTATCTCTTTATGTGCAGCTTGTCGTCTTTCATACGCTGGGTCTCGAGACTTCGCTGGCCGTGCTGCTTCCGATTCCGCTGGCTGCGGAGGCGGGGGACAGCCAGCATGCTTTGGGCGCACAGCAGGTGGCGGTGGCGGCGGCACCCAAGACATTACAACTTTGATTTGACTTCACCACATAACATAAACATTCGTACATGCATGCATACAGTTTCCGCATCTACGCATATACGCGTCAGGCTGCTTAGCTGTTTCGTCTTTTATGCTGTTGGGGATCTAGCATGGGTGTGGCTTCAGAACTCAGCTCAACTTCTGATGTGAGACGGCAACAGCGAAGACGGCCCACTTGCAGGACACTGAACAAGACCCTAACGACACCGCAACTGATTTCACTTGCAAGACCCAGAACAAGGCCCTGACCACACCAAAGCGCCGCTGGTCCTGCTGAAAAGTCGTGGCCTCAGCGCGGAAAATGCGGCACGCAGCTGACATGCTCCATATGGCCATGCACTCTACCTTTGCACAGGCCCTGTACTACCTTCTGTGACGTCTCGGCTCTCTGCAGGCCCAGGACGACCAACGTCCGGGGCCCTGGAATCCAGGGCCTCAGAGGGCGCTTTTCAAGCACAGTAGGTGCAATGAGCCGGGTTTCTTAGCACTGAGGACTCAGTGCCCAGTCCTTCGAGTTTTTAGCCCCGACATGCTGTAATTGAAACATAATGCTAAATTTCACTGAACCGAGACCCTGAAAGCCGTGTGAGACTCGCATGTGACACTTTACAGCGTCCAGGACAGACACTTTACAGCGTCCAGGACAGACACTTTACAGCGTCCAGGACAGACACTTTACAGCGTCCCTGCCTCCGTGAAGCCAGAATTCTGGCTGGGGAGTCCGCCTTAGCAGCGGCGGGAAAGGCGGACTCCCGCGTTTCAGAAAGAAGAGAGAACACAGAAGCACACACACAGAGAGAACACAGAGAGTGACTTCGAGAGACAGAGACAGATCACGACCGAGAGCATCGTGGCCAGGCTGACGGCATGAATGAGCGACTTCGAAAGCTGGTGACCAAGTTGTTGTTTGCAGTGCCTTGCTAGCCTTTGTTTGGCCATCACGGTGCCTGTGTTTAGTGGCTTCCCCAAGCCTCATAACCCCTAGCCCCCAAAGTCCCAATCTCTTGGCCGTTTGCTTCCCCGTCGAAGTGGCCCCAATTTTGTCAATTGCCCCCGGTTATGTTTCGACATCAGCGTGCCGCTGTATAGTGGCTTTCTTCCTGCGCCGCTGTCTAGTGGCTTTCGAAAACACCTCAACCCCTAGCTACAAAACCTCCAAACCCCGAACCCTACAGCTGCCGCTGTCAAAGTGGCCCCTGATTTTGTAAGCTTCCACTTGGACTGGAAATGCTAACTGTGGACCTTGCGTGTCAGTCGGGCTCAGAAACCAAGTCCAATCCATCCCTGGTGTCGCGCCATGACATCCTGCCCTCATGTTCGTCCTATCAATGACAACATCAAGGGCAGCGGCAGCAGCAGCGATGGGGCTCAAGAGAACATTCGTGTGAAGCAGGAGAACGTTGATTCTGATGCAGACCAGCCACACGTCAGCGACATGCCTGGCAAGCTTCGACGGATGAATGCCCAGATCTGGGAACAGGACGGGGCCCATGAAAGCTCAGACAGCGGCGAGCCTTCCCCGAAGCGTCATAGATCTTCTCTTGACCAGGTGGCACCGTATCTGCAAAAAGACGACAGCAACGATTCCAAAACAGGTGAGCAGGTGTCACGGTGCTCTGCTGTGGACTGGGAGTACCCCATCCTGGAGATGGCATCACAGGAACATTGTGCAGATTTCCAGTCGGTATGGACGATGTATCCTTTGAACATCATCGTGGACTAGACGGACATCAAACTGGTTTCTGAAACTGCGGTGACAGTGGCGCTCAGCAGTCGTTCGTGTTCCGGCTAAACACGGTGGCCAGCCACGTAATTAGAAAACTGTGCAGTCTGCAAGCACTGCGTTCGAAAAAAGAAGTTTCTGGTGCGTTCCAAGAGTGAGCAGGGGGAGGCTTCAGTTGCAGACGTCACTTTTGAGATTGAAGAAAACATGGACCCCTAGCAGACAGCCAGCTGGCTGTCCAAGATGTAACAGCCACGTTCCTGGCCCTAGGACGACGACGATGACGACGACTACTACTACCACTACCACTACCACTACCACTACCACTACCACTACCACTACCACTAGCACTACCACTACCACTACCACTACCACTACCACCACTACCACTACCACTACCACCACTACCACTACCACTACCACTACTACCACTACTACTACTACTACTACTACTACTACTACTACTACTACTACTACTACTACTACTACTACTACTACTACTACTACCAGACCTTTAGATAGAGATCTAAATTCTGTGGACGCACTCACCCCCGCCGCTGCTGTTATGATCTCAAAGGACTATTCGCAGTCGCAGGCAGCAGCACCCCACCTCGCTTTTGAAAATATGGCGACAAGAAGCAACATGGTGACGAGCTCCTACAGGAAAGTTTGGAGCAAGACGTGGGGAAGTTTCCGCCTCAAGAACTTGCAAGAGACCGCCGGCACCATCATAGAAAATTGGGAGTACGACCCCAGCTTGGACGTCGCCATGAAAGTGAAGATGCCGATGAAGGCTATGAAGGCGATGAAGAAGAAGCCGACGAAGGCGATCAAGGCGATGAAGAAGAAGCCGACGAAGGCGATGAAGGCGATGAAGAAGGCAGACAAGAAGGCTGACTGAACAACACAGCAGCTGCCTGGCTGGAAGGAAAAAAAAGAGTGGAGCCGGAGCCTTCCCAACTGAACGTCGTGTGCACGGATGTGTTCCTGCCGCCAAGCCGCTGCCGAAGTGGCCACTGTGAGAGTCCTTTATGACGCTGCTCAGTGTCTAGCGCTGGCGAGTGTCGTCTTGAGTTTAGTGAAGCAGGCCTGTCGCTGTTGTGTCAGCGTGTCTTCTGCCGAGGTCGACGCCGCATCGTTCACCAGGTCTGGGCCCTGGCATCCAGGGCCCAGACCGTGGTGAGCTATATCGAGCAGCAACAGAAGGCTGGTCGCGCGTCCTGCTCTCAGACCATGCTCTTATCAGTCTTGCAAACCTGGCAGCGGCAGACAGTTTGTAGGCGAAGAAGTGCTGCCCTTGCTTTGATTTTCTTTCACCAGGCTGGGCTGGCAAAACTTGGAGTGTTTGCTTGGACCCGGAGAGCAAGGTGCGCGGGGAGCACCATATTTGCCTTGCTGATGTGGCTTTAGTTTCGTGGACAATTCTCCTGCAGCAGTGCTCGCATGTCTGACAGATTGGATGATAGTTAACTACCGCTGATTGAGTGGCTGCCATTGAATCATGTACTATGAGTGCCGCTGATTCAGTGGGTACTTTTACATGCCGCTGCTTCAGTGGCCACCACCAACAATCATGCTCTTTTAGTTGCTAGTACAAGCTCGATCGCTGCAGACATGACTGAACGTAGAAGTGCTTCCTTTGTTGCCTTGTTGTGCTGGTCATGATGTGTGTTGGTGAAGACTGGCTTTAAGGAGAGTCCTGTGTTGACGTGGCAGAGTAGAGGCATGTGCCTGTGACGGACCTGACTGTCTTTGTATTCGGATTCGGCAAAAGCAAGCATTCCAGAATACCTTACATCATGGTTCTGCGCCTGCAGAGTGTCATTATCTCACCGTGGAATTTGTTTTTTTGTTAGGCCTATCTTGCCAAACTTGGCTTGTGATTGACATATCAGTCTTAAGCACGGTCGATGCCACCCAATCTGCGCGATGCCTTGCTGCAGCTCGGTGCCAAGCGAAAGGACACGGACGGCAAGTCTGCCAGGCTGCCGGCTCGCGGGGCATTGTTCCGTTCGTGTGTGGAGAACGCGGCCCGATCCGAACGACAGGTGCAGCCCGAGCATGACACTGCACATGTGCCGGCTTCAAGCAGCAGTCGGCGGCTGTCTTTCTTCCGACGGGGGGCCGGATCCCAGGCAGTGCCTCAGCCCGGCGGTGCGAGAAGTTTGGCGGACTGCTTGAAAGTTGCTGAAGGAGCTCGACAGTCCGAGAAGGGCCGAAAGCTATTTTTCAGCGGGCCGCCATGGCCGCATCCTCTTCGGTGGACGGCCCCTGCGGGACAGGAGAGGCGCTGACGATTGCCTTGATCGAGGAAGTATCTGCAAATCTGGAACTGCAGACACGGTCTGCAAGTACAGCATCAGGCTCAGGGCGTAGGAAGCGGCCAAAATACAATAATACTAGCCGAGCTGCAACGGCGAGGTTAGCAAGACTGCAAAAGACTGGAGGAGAAGGCAACAATGCCGAGAAGCGTGCTTCAAAAGATCGAGTACAAGCCCTGATCAACCAGCCAAGCTGCAACTGTACAAGTGGTGGTTGCTTCCAACAGCTGGTTTCGGCACAATCGGAAGTGATGAATCTGCTGAAAGTTTTGGCTTCGAAGCCCAAGGCAGTGAGGGATGAGGTCCTGAGGCGAGTCTGTGGGGATGGGTTATTTCGTGTACTGGGTTTCGACCTGGGGCGGCAGTGCTTCCGTTCCTTGCTGATGCTTGGAAAAGCACGGCTGAGATCCTGGGCTCGTCCTGAGCAATGTTTCCTTGCTTTTTTTTTGGTTCACCATGCAGTTGGTAAGAAAGTTCCGAGTGGCAGCAGCCCACGAGGCTCCGCTGCCCAACAGAAGCATAATCCAGACCTGCGGCTGCGACAATTCAGTGTTCGGAAGCACGAGAACCCTCAGACACAGAGATGTCTCCAGTATTTCAGCAAGCTATACCTTCGACTGGGGGAAACTCTGCCACACAGGTTTCACGGGAAGTGTTATCGCAAGAGGGCCGCTCGACGAGGACGGTTGGACGTGGAGTCCTTGAGTTCGGAGGACGAGGTTCCAGTGAGCACGCTGGAGGAAACGAAAGCGGATGTGATCGCGGAGGTGTCCCATTTCACGAAGTACATCTCTTCTGGTTTGGGCTCGGATTTGTCCGGTCCCTCTGGCTCAGCTGTGCCCTAGTTTTGTGTTGCTGCTTTGAAATAGACTAGCAGGAATTGAAGCAACATAATAAAACAGTACTGTTCCTTCAAGAACCCACACCTCAGGCTTGCCAGTGCGGTTCCTGCCGCCTGGAAACGTGAGCGAGCTCTACGTGGATTTCTGTTCTAGTTTTACAGACCAAGCCCGCGTTCCTTCCTTCGCATGTTTCGGGAAGGCCTTCACAGACATCAGCCACATTCTGAAGTTCCGGCCGAAAGGCGAATTTACGGAATGCGACGTATGTGAGGCCTTGAAGGCGAAGATCAAAGATGCACAGCAGAGAGACATGGCATCCTTGGTCAGTGCAACCCACGAACTGCGACTGCACTACCACAACGTGGGCGTCTCTCGAGATCTGGAAGAAGCGTTGCGGCTGCTGCCACCAGATGGCCCCAAGGCCATGTTGGTCATGATGACCGACGGCATGGACCAGGCGCACTGGTCGGTGCCCCGTTTGCCAGGGTGGAAAGCTGGGAAGCAGTTCAGCACATTGCACCGTCCACGCTGCATCGTGCAAGGTTGTTGGGTCTTTCACTACGGCCTGCATTTCATAGTGGCAGACAAGACACAACCGCATGATAGCAACTTTGTAGTGGAGACAGTGGCAAGGGCATTGGAGCATGTCCATCGCACTGCTGTGCGGTTGGGTCGACCATTGCCTCGGGAGTTTGTGTTATGGACAGATAACACAACCCGCGAAAATAAAAACAATACGCTGTTGGCGTTCATGTCTCTATTGATCCACAGAGGAGTCTTCTCGCTGTCGTGTGTGTCCTGTCATATAGAGGGGCATACACATAACATCCTGGATCAACTCTTTGGAATCATTGCCAGAAGTTTCCAGTATGTGGACAAACTTGAAGACATCTGGGCAGTGATCGATGAGCTGCGTCGCATATTGAAGAAGCCCAGCTTGCGGCAGTTCCTGGGTGGCGCGGAAGTGGACGTGACAGTCGAATGCATGGAGGGATGCCGGCATTGGGCCAAGTATCTCGAGGAGTTACAGGTCCGACTGGACGGCGGCCTGCTAAGTGTTGGGGAGACGCCCTCCAACCACATGTTCCTCTGGATGCATCGCAAAGATTTGCCGGCACCCGTGGCCAGGCGCGTCCTCCCACTGGCGCGTGCAAGGCGGAACCAGCCGGACCCTTTTGTTGCACATCCTCTGGACGTTGTCTTGCTGCAGAAGCAGTATGTTTGGGAGACTGACCTGAAATGCGACCCACAGGTCGTGCTGCCTCATGTGCTGGGTTTGCGGTTCCACACTGCCCAAGGATACGTACCTCGTTTGTTGAGGCCTCCGAACCGCCCAGATGCTGAGGGCTGGCTGTTGTGCGCAAAAGCCTTGCTGCAGATGTATCCTTCGGGTAACATGGTCAGGACGGTTAAATACTTGCAAGAGTTGGCAGCTGGCCAGCGCGGCCAGTCAACCGATTTCCCAGACTTGCCATGGTTCGAGTCCTGCCGTGGCCGGACCGATGTCGAAGCTGCACTTGCCTGCCAGCCCGAACATCTCAACAGCTTGGTTCCAAGCCTGGCCACCAGGGCAGTTTACAGAGGGCCGTGAAGCAACACGAGAGCTTCCGTCAGAGAAAGTCTTGAATTGCGTGTCTCAGCGCCTTACCTTAAACGGATTAAACCTGAAAACCCTTTTGAACTTGGTCATCCAGACCCGCGTGCTGGTGCCTTCCCAAGGGAACGTTTGCAAAACCGCAAGCCATCCCGCATGTACATTGCATTGCCGCTGTTTGAGTGCTTGTACATGTACTCTTAGTTGCCGCTGTGTGGGTGGCCACCACGGGCTCTTGCAGCTGCCTCGGAATGAGCAGAAGTAGCTTTTGCTGCGAAGGTTTCAGTCTGAGTGGCCGCATGCTTTTGTCTTGCACAGATCATTTCGGCTCTGCGAGCCAGAAGAACGGAAGCTCAGCCTTTCCTCCCTGAGTTATACCATGGGCAAGCGTGGCGGGGGAAAGCTCACTGCAGAAACGGCCAAAAGCAGCAAGACCTTGAAGCGGCAGCTGGAGTCCTTCTGGGGCAAGGCCGAACGGCTATTAGTTCACACCGGGGAAGATCATCTTGTTTGCGGTCACTGCACACAGAGACACGAATGTGACACTCGAAATTCTCTGCTGGCACAATTTGTCTTCCGTGTTTGAGGCTGAGAGTGAACGAGCAGCGGACATGTCCTTCAAAAACAAGTGGTGGGTGTGTCAGCGCACAAGTCTAATTGGAAGCAGTGACAGTCAGACAGTCAGGGTTAACAAATACCCAGAAGTGTCAGCCAGCAAGATTAGGACGAGCCATGGCCGCTTCTAGATTTGCATTGTTTCAGGCTTCCGGCCAGAGACGAGCTGCCCCGAAGACATGCAAGAGCAGACATCCAAGCAGCCCCCCTGCAGGTGTCGGAAGTGCCATGAGGCTCAAGGTGTTCAGTGAGCTGAGGCTCAACAGGCTTCAGATGTTTCAAGATTCGAAGAGGAAGCGGAGCAGGGGGGCACCTGCAGTGGTGATTCGGAAGAACAAGCCAAAGTGGCGACGCGTCAAGTGTTTTCAGCTCAAGTTCGGTACTGCTGCGGACACCTTCAGGCTGCCACAGTTTTTGGTGGACACTATGGAAACGAGCTCGGCATCGCCTCCGATCAAGAAAGCCTTAACTGGACTCTCCAGGCTTGTCGTGACCAGCAGCTTTTCCGGTGTTGGATTCGCAGAGTTGGGCTTGCAGTCTCTACTTGCAAGCAAGAATCATGACTTGAAGGTCAAACGACAGGTGGAGATCAACCGGCACTGTCGTGAGGTCTTGCTGTCTCGGAACCACTCGGGTTGTGTTTTTGATGACATCCAGGCTTTGGTTCCGGATTTTGAGATGGGCACGGCAGCCAAGCCACCCAGGTGCCGTTCCAGTGCCGTCAAGGCGTACTGCCACCAGCATGCCAGGCTGTGCCCCGTGGCACCCAAGAAGATGTTAGGGCAGCTGCATCTGGAAGTGGCCGGGCCACCTTGTCCGCCATGGAGCCGATTTGGCTGCAGACGTGGTGAAAGTGACATTCGGCACAGAGCTCACGATGCCTGGGTGTCACTTTGCCGGCAGGAAGAGCCGGACCTTATCCTGTTTGAGAACGTCGTCGGCTACAAACTGGAATTGCTTGACAAGAATTTTGCCGACAAGTATCGGGTATTGCCGGAGATTTTGGACCCCAGGCTTTTCGGGGCGCCTATGTCCAGGCCTCGTGTCTACAGCCTGCTGGTTCACAAGAGCCTGGACTGGAAGGGGACGGAAGCGAGCTGGTTGCTGGACGCTGTGAAAGCAGCAGGTGGTGAGGTACATAGTTCTGATTCCAGCAGCACCTACGACAATCGGATCTACGCAGAGCTCCCTGACGATGGGTCCAGGCGTCATATGACCTCCAAGGAGCATGCTCGCTTGGAGGCCTACAACGGACTCAAGAGACTTGGTGAGGCGACGGTAGTAGACCTCACACAAAGTGCGAAGAAACCGGTTGCTAGCTTGGTCGATGGTGCACTTCCTGTTCTCCGGACTTCATGTCGGGGCCTGTACATGAGGCATGCCCAGCAATTTTTGAGTTGTTTCCAGCTCTTGCGTGCGATGGGCTATCCCGTGCACCCGTCGGATGCTGCGCAGATGTCTCTGGGACACTGTCCCCTTCCCAGCCTTCCGAAGGAGAAGCTGTTTACAATGATTGGCAATGGTATGTTTCCAGCATGTGTTGCACTTGCAGTCCTTACAGCAATGCTCCACATAGACCTTTGATGGAGTACACTTCTTGCACCCTAATTCGCCGACCTTCGACTTGGCAGACATTTCCTCCAAGAAACAGACGTTCGTAAGATCAGTCAGCCAAAGCTTTTGGCAGGCTCTCTCGGAACAAGTTGCGGCTGCACAGAACAGCGGACAGCATCCTGCGGCGGAGATGCTGAATCTCAGCGGACTGGAAGACCGGGGATGCGACCGAGCATTCCTATGGTGGTGTCACGGCCATGCCGCTGGAGAAGATCGTTTTGACACGTCAAGTCTTTCAAGACGCCGCCACGGACCTCCCCCGAGCAGGTCAGTGGGCCAACGTATTTCAGGACATCTTGTCCTCGAACTACCAGTCCAAGGAGACAATCTGCACAGCACTTTTGCCGGATGGATCTGGGGTCGAGATCGTGGGCAAAGGGTTCTCGAGAATATCCTCGGTGCTCTTCATCATCTACTTGGGGAATCATCTGTTCGAGAACTACGAGGGTGATCAGAGCACTGAGAAGTTCCAGGAGGACAAGAAGATGTTCCATGAGTCACTTGGCAATGAATTATGTTAAAAAAATAACTGGCGTGACCATGTCGTTTTGTTATGTTATGTTGTTGTTGTTGTTGTTGTTGTTGTTGTTGTTGTTGTTGTTGTTGTTGTTGTTGTTGTTGTTGTTGTTGTTGTTTTTTTTTGTTGTTGTTGTTGTTGTTGTTGTTGTTGTTGTTGTTGTTGTTGTTGTTGTTGTTGTTGTTGTTGTTGTTGTTGTTGTTGTATTGTTCGGGCTTGTTCTGAGGTCCAATCTCGCCAGACTTTCGGGCTAGGGCCTTAGTGATTTTTCTGGCGCATTCACGGCGTATGCACCAGATCCTTTTCATACAGCAGCAACCCCCCGGGCCACCGGCTATCCCATTATGATCATATACATATCCTATACGGACCGGGCCCAGGCGGATGGTTATAGTAGCTTCATTTACAAGTCTGGCGCATTCACGGCGTACGCACCAGAAAAATCACTAAGGCAGGTCCTTGATTTTCTGGCGAGATTGACCCCTCTTGGCCGCCCCGCCAAGGTATTCTCAGACAGTTTATCGTAGCATGATCAGCTACCAACAACCCACTTTTAGTGGGCCGTTTCTTTATGACGTCGCGAATCTTGTGTCTCTGTGTTGTCCTTGCCGTTGCCGCTGTCATAGTGGCTAACTCCGCTCTGGCAGTCAGTGCCGCTCTTGAGTGGCTTATATGCTGTCGTCGGCTCTGCCGCTGTTGAGTGGCTTTGCTGTCGATTGCTTTGGTGCTGTTGAATAGCTTTGCTGTCGACGGCTTTGAATTTGCCGCTGTTGAGTGGCCTTGCTGTCGATTGTGTTGCCGCTATTATTGAGTGGCTTTTGATGTCGATTGGGTTGCTGCTATTGAGTGGCTTTTGCTGTCGATTGCTTAGCCGCTGTTGAGTGGCGTTTGCTGTCAATGGTTCTCCCGTCTCTATGGCCGCTGTGTTGTGTAGTGGCTAGCTACATGAACCAAGGTTCTTGACATCCGCACGAACGATCCTGGTGTCCATCAAGGATTTCACGAACTCACGCGAAAAGCTTTATGCTGCTGTGGCAGAGAGCCAGGCCATCAAGGAGCGAGCACCGCTGACCCTGGTCAGCTTGTGTGTGAAAATCGGCGTGGCCATGCTGTCGCTGGCCCAAGGGCAGGGCTTGGACATGGCGACTGCAGGGCCGCCTGTCAGGGCCAAACTACTGTCGGCGGTCATAGACGAGTTCAACGGACATGGACAAGTGGGGGTCAATAAATCCTATCAATTGAACCGTCACCAGCAAGACTGCGTGCGCAACCTGCTTTTGGACACGGATCCAAGTGCACTCAAAGAGATCCAGCTCTGCATTGACCAAGTCCCGGAAAAGCGCACGCCGTTCAAGCACCAGACGTTGCAAAGTGTCAGGTGGCTGCTGGGCGGTGGGCCCAAGCGGTCGGCCACTGTGAATGACATGTGGGTCCGAATCCTGGCTATGGACAAGGAGAAGCAGCTGCTGTTCTTCCAGATTCTCACCTTCCAGGCCAGAGGTTTTATTTTTTAAAATGGCACCGAGCGGTCTCCCTACGAGGCCATTTCTGCACTGAGAGCGGGCGATCAGAAAACTATGACCTTGGAACGGTGGAACGAGAATGCGGATTATGCGTGCTTCTGCGGCTTCCTGCTCCAGAACAGCGGCCCGTTTGTCGACAAACCGGAGGATCTGGAGCATCTGAGGTTGCGGTTTATCCGAGGTGACTTCTGGGACGCGGCCAGGAACTTCTTGCTTGTCAAGGACCCGCAGTTCGACATCCAGCAGTTTCCGTGGCCGAAAATGGAGCAGGAGGCAAACACCCAGCGACAGTCAAGTCAGCACGTTGATGAACTGAGTGTACAAGCCGAGGAAGCGCGGTTCAAGGCAGACTTATTGTCCTTGACGACAGATTGTGCCAAGGCCCTGCAGCACAAGCAGCAGCAGCTGGAAACTGCAAAGGCCAAAGCGGCAGCCGAAGCCGCGCATGTGCGAAACGAGATTTTGCACGGCCGCAAGGATGTTGTGGAGCCCTTCATGCGAGAGCACTGCCATATCATCGCTGTGGACTCCATCAACGCAGCGATGCACGAGTGGGATGAGTTCTTGAAGGGGACTTCGGCCTTTGGGGCGGGAAACAAGTTGCGAATCGTCATCGCCGACTTGAACAAGCTGGGCAGAGTGGGTGAGCAGGACTCGGATTTTGACTTTTCCATGCTGGGGGGGAAGACTTCTTTGATATCATGCTGCAACATAACTCCAGCCAGGAGCTGGAGAACTTGTCAGCCATCTGGGAGAAAGTGATCACACAGGATCGGGATCGATCCTGTGTTTTGGTTGTGCTCCCGGTCGTGGTCAGCAAGAAGCGACTCCAAGGCAGGGTGCCTGAGTTCTTATTTAGAGTGACCTTCCTTACTACTGGGTGTGAGGCCTCTCAGCGGAACGGAAGCGCATTGAGGCCAAAGCCGAGTCGCTCCGACTCTGCGCAACCCTCGTACACTTGCGCATGGGGGACGAGTTTCATGGCAACGATGGCCGGACACTGCTCTACGACATCGTCGCCGTCACATCGGACTCGGAGGACAACCAGTTCTTGGACTCCTTTCTTCTCAGACGTCGCGCTACCATCTTTGCTGCAGAGTGGCTGCCGACGGAGCAGTACTATCTGCCGCAGTCCGAACCAGGCCGGGCAGCAGCAGTGGGCAGTTTGAGTGTGGAGCGAAGAGCGGCCCAACTGCTGGGCGGCTTATCAGTGGCCGAGACATTGTTGCGTTCGGTGCTGTTTTCCGGTGCGTCAACACCCAAGCCGCTCTTTGATGACGTGAAGGACTTAATGAGGCTTGCTTTGGATTGCTTTATTTTGATGCAGTTTAACAGCATGAAGTCTGCAGGACAGCATCGTGATCTTCCATCAGACACCCTATGATGGGTGCCTGGAGGAAGCTGCCTTGAAGCTTCGCAAAATCCTGAAGCCTCGGGTGGCGGTGTTCAGCGCAACACCGGTTGTTGACGACATCGCCAGCTGCCAGGGCAAAATTGCCAAGATCCTGCTCATGGATTGGAAGGCCGCCACCTTCACCATGGTCCCGGAGTCCAGTCGCCGCTTCTCCTCGCAGCTGCCGACAGACACGGCGACAAGAGTTCAGGGGTCCGCTCCGCCAGAGCTGACCTCGTTGGTTTGGGAAGGCACGGGATGCAAAATTCCGGAGGTATTCAAGTGGGCGACACACGTCGTCTACGCAAGTGAATGGGTGAAGGAACTCGACAAGGCGGAGAGAAGTCTGCTCGCAGCAAATCTAGAGGCAGCAGCAGGAGCCGATCCCGTTGCCGCGCCTCAACAGCGCACCACGGACTTCGTCGATGTGGCCACGCTGCAGTCCAACGCAGCACTGGTGGAGCTTGCTTCGGACTTCGCGAATGTCAAGTTCCTTCACGATCCGGACTCCAAGTCCCTCTATGCCTTCGCGAAAGGTGGTGCGGGGACCATCCCATGTGACAAGCCAGTGTTCAGCCATGCACAAGGCGATTGGGTACGGCCACCACAGTCTACACGATTGCTGGCGAAAGCGGATACAGAGGAACTCTGCTTGCATGTGTTCGCCCTGGAAAGCGACACAAGCCAGGTGTGTGTGGAGGTGCCCGGAGCCTCGGGTCTGGAGGACACAGAGGCTGCTGAGGTCCATACGGTCATGCAGGAGAGCACCATGGCAGGAATGGTGGACTTGAAGTGGTGGCATCACACTGTGAAGCTTAGCAGCCCAAGGTAATTTCTTGAAGGAGAAGCAGTTTAAGAATACATATCACTTTTGTTGATTTCATATGATGAGCGAGACAAGGAAACCATCGCCTGAAGCGGAGGGCCGGTATGAGGTTGCAGTATCCGTTGCGGATGACCAGCAGTGGGTTTACAAGCCCAAAGACACTTCCAGCAGCCTGAATCTCGGCCAGGAACTTGGCCACCCAGGCTTGTTCACGCCTCACCTGTGTGAGAGCGTCTGTGTGTGCATGGTGTCTGTGTTTCGGTCTGTGGGAGACCCTGAGAGGGAGCGTTATTTACCCAAGGAAGCACTCCAACATTGCCAATGTCTTGCCTACGGCCATGTTGGAGGCGAGCAACTTGATCGAGAAGATCTGGCGGGTGACACTGGACGCCGCACAGGGTCATCTGGTCCCGCGGAAGCCCTTGCACCTTTGGCTTCGAATCTCCAGGGTTTGACCATCACTGTGCGAAAGTATATTGAAGCAGATCTCTTAATTTTTGGTCACAGATGCTGAGGTATTTCCTGAAAGGCACACCCCTCGTGATTCAGGACGGCAAGGCCATCAAATTGGTGTAAGAAGGACACCTGGAAAGCGTTTTCTTTCTTCAAAGTGAAGCCCGGCAAGAGGTCTCGCGGACAGTTGTTGGATCTCTCCCGCACTTGTCGTGCACCGGGGGACACAGAAGAGAGACATCCATGCAGCCTTGTTAGTGATTGCAGGAAACAAAGAGGGTGTGGGGCTCGGTATAGAGGCCTGGGTCTGAAGAAGAATGAGACCTGTCTAGATGATACAATTGTGGCTGCCGTGTCTCTGAATCCTTTTCCATTTCTCGGATGATTGTTCCGGAGAAGCTGTGGTCGACCCAGCACAGGGGCGGCAGACGTCGCGGCGGAAATCAGTGCAAGTTAGCTAGGGCTTCTGTCGAGTGTCCGATGCAGACTTCCGTTGCAACGGTACCAGGAGCAGCAGCGGCAGAAGCGTGACATCTGCAGCTTGCTTTTGCTCGAGAAGTTTGACGCTCGCTCCAGAGAGTGCAAATGTCAATGGATTGGTCGTCGATCGAGGCTGAGGTTACGGCGTCTGAAAATGCCCAGATTTTGCGAAGCTACCGCACAGCGAGTGCAGCCAGTCTCCGAGCATTTGCGCCTCAGACCGCTTCCACTGCGATCTCCGGCGGTGCTGTGAATGCTGCGATGCAGCCAATGGCTGTAGGCAAAGCCACGGTGTTCTCGCGGACCAATCCGGCCCCATTGTCCGCCGAGAAAGAAACGACGCAGCAGAGTTCAGCCTCGACTGACAAAGCAATGCCTGGGACCCTCAGCTCAGTCATGAAGCAACTCAGCGAAGTCCGAGAGGATCAGAAAAAAGGCCGGCCGATTTGGTTTCCTGTTCAATCTGTCGGTCGTGCTCCGTTGTTCCTGCCCATTCCTGTTGTGTGCATACTTTGACAGGGAAAGCGGCAGCGAAGGCGACAGGAGGGAAGGGGAAGGGAAAGGGCAAAGGTGCAGAGCAGCTGAAGAAGCCTGCTGTTGCGACGGAGAAAGCTTCCAAGATCACGGAGCCCAGTGCAGCGCCTCTACCCGTTGCCGTTGGCGAGACCGATGCTGTGGCCAAGGAAGATGAGAAGGAGAAGGAACAGCCGCAGGACGATGAGAAGGAGAAGGAGGCTGAGCAGAAGCCCCAGGTTAAAGAGACACCCAAGGCCAAGGCAAAGAGCAAAGCCAAGGCCAAGGGCAAGGCCAAGGCAGCGGCCGGAGGCAAAGCCACTAAGGATGCCGATGCCGAGCCGAGACGCCACGACGACGGGGATATGCTTCGTCAGTACACCAAGTTCGTGAAGGAGAAAGCAGAGGAACTTGTGGAGAGTGGCAGCAGCAGGCAGGATGCTCGGAAAGCAGCCATTGAGCTCTGGCACACATCAGACATCAAGCAAGCCTACGTGGCCGGGATGAGCGAGAGCGAGCGCAAGCGAAGGAAGTTCATTAAGTAGGGGAGCCATTGCACCGCATCATGGGCTCTGTATTGGTGTCAAGAGGAGGATTTTGAAACCTTGAGGGGCCCACGAGGTCCTGATTGTCATGCAGTGCCTGGGGGCACACACCTTCGTTCCGTACCTCCTGAGCTTGGCATGGATTCAGGGGCACTCAGAGAGTGGTCCTGGCCGCAGATGTACGTGCGGACAAAGAGTTTAGGGAACGAGCTGCATGGACGTTTGTTTCCTGTTGCGTTGTGCTTCTGACGGAGTGAGACTGAAGTATGGCTTGCATGAAGAACCACGGCTTCAGCAATGTGTTTTGTGCTGTTTCTGAAGCATTTTGCTCAAAAGTATTCGGTCGACGAAGTCACTAGGACCCCCATGACACAGTCTCTGCGGAGCGTTTTTCAAAGGGCATGCGGGTGCACTCCTGGTGTTGTGTACGACTTTAGACCTTCAAAGACCCGCAGGCAGAGACGATCCAAAGGTGCAGAGTCCCCGAAGAAGCTCGTGAAAGACATGGCTATGGTCAAGCAGGACAAACAACCATTAAGGGAAGTGCTTATGTCAACATCAGTCACGATGCTGGGGAACGTGTCTTCGGTTGGGGCATCGTCGAAAGGTTCCGCGAAAGGTTCCGGAAGCCAGATGAAACACGTCAGTCCAGGCACATCAGAAGCCAAGCAGCTTCGTCCAAACGGACAGGGGAAGCAGAAGATGCCAGGAGAGTCTGACTGCCGGGCTGACATTCGATCCTACTTCGGGTGATCCTGATGTGCGTCTGTGTGGGCGCCTCTCTGGGTATGAATTCCGTGCAGTGGATTTCGTCCAGGCTATGAATTCCGTGCAGTGGATTTCGTCCAGTTGGCAGCTGCTCTGTATGTCCACAAGGGAGGAGCCTGAGGTTCGGCACGACTTGAAGCTATTTGCCGCAGTCAGGCAACTTGTGTACAGAAGACAATGCAGCAGCACGATTCCGTCGACTTGATAGGACCGACCATAACTTATGAAGACGTAATTCCGATACTTTTGTTGCTTCAAGAATGAAAGTGTCATCATGTCATACTTCTGCCCTAAGTAATGCAGACGCCTTCTAGCCTGCGATCGGGGTCCAATGCCGGGGAAATGGCATTCCGGAAAAGATACTTGCATAGACTGCCGTTTGAGCTGCGCAGACTTCACTGCCTCAACTTGTTTCGGACAGAAGACGTGCCTGCAGGTCACATCGTCGAACCACGTTCCAGCCTGGGTGCTGGAGGCCGACATTTGAAGTCGTTTAGAAGCACTGTGTACACCGTGCAGCGTTTGTGCAGCTTACACTGTTACTAACATGATGAGTCACTATTCTTGGCCTGAGGCTGTCGGACTGACGTCTTGGGTCAAGCAGGACAGCACAAGCTGCAATGCCGGAAGCTTTGTCCTTCATAGCTTTGTTTTCGGCGCATCAGTCTGTGATTCTGAGTTTCGTTGGCAGGAACTGTACAAATCATGTGCTGCATGAACAGAAAGCATTTGCTGGGTTTCTGCTGTCTCAGCAGTCCATGCACTTGGGACAGACCGAGAGATAGGAAAGTAATAGCCGATGGCTTCGTGTCCGCTCCTTTTATAACACTTTCCTTCGCCGGACTGCCTCCAGGTGCAGGTGCAATCACTTGGACATCGTGGCTTGTGCTGCTCTACTTGGCTCGTCGTTTTCTTCCGGAAGCTTGCTGCATCACATTGTCACAGTCTTCCAGGCGCCGCTGCAGTGCCGAGCTTGTGTTCAAGACATTCCAGCACTGGGTCTGGGTCATAGCTCCATAGCCAATCCAAGTACTGTTAAGGGAAGGCAAACAACAGAGAGTCACAGAGCAAGTAGAAACCAATTAATGCATGGACAACATTGGTAAGCCACCCGGTCCTGCGGTTCTTGATGTTTGCGAACATCATCCCCGCTTCTTCCGCGATATTAGAACTCTTCATGGCATTGATCATGTGATGTCGGGATGTGTGGGTGCGTATGCTGTGTCGCCGGTCAAAGAGCTTGCCGTCGACCTTGAAACTGAGCCTGGCTCGTTGGATCATTTTGCATGCCGTATCTTTGTTCATATGCGAATGTTTCGCATCCTGTCTTGTGCTCGGGAAAAGGTAGCCATCGGCAGACTTGGGAAAGGTCCACGCGTCGACCTCATGCACTGTTCCACGGCTGCCTCTGTGCACTCTCCTGGTTTGTTTCACACCCTTCTTTCTGAGTGTCTCCATCTCTCCCAGCAGCACTCCCAGCATGGGCTTCCAGATTGCTGGCGCTCCCTTGAAGGGTGCAAAGTAGACCCTTTGGTTCGCAAAGTCCCAATCCCGACAGCGAAGTTGCAGGGCCTGCGATATGCGGCAGCAGAAGACCTTGCAAATCCAGACTGCCACAAAAACCCATGTCCGACTTTGCAAGAGCAGGTGTTGCAACCAGTCAGAGAAATTCTCCGTTAGTGGATCTGCTTGTCCCAGCTTCTTGGGTCGACTGCTTTGTTGTGCAAGTGCACGACGCTTCTTTGAACTGCCAGGGCATTTCCTCTGGGAGGCTGCCGCACGGGTCATGGCGACAGAAGAGATGGGCTTGAACCTGAGGATGCCTTGTGTGACTCATGGAAACAGTGTCATATTCATACTGATTCCACAGCAGCAAAGCAATCGACAGCAAAGCCACGCAACAGCGGCAAAGCAACCGACAGCAAAGCCACTCAACAGCGGCACTGCCAGAGCGGAGTAAGCCACTAGGACAGCGGCAACGCAAAAGAGCAAACATGTCTTGGTCCCGAGCTTTCGAAGTCGTTCATGCTGTCAGCCTAGCAGTGCTCGATGACCAAACAAACAACAGCACAAAGTCACTGCTCAAGAGGCATTCAACGGGAAACAGGGCAGCGGCAACACCAGTGACAGCACAGCCAACAGTCAGCCGAACTGCCCACGAACTACCCAGCACCAAACGTGGCTGGGTCCCGAGCTTTGGAAGTCGCTCACATGCCGTCAGCCTGGCAGCGCATCTCTCGCAGTCTCTGTCTCTCTCTCTTTCTTTCTCTCTCTGTCTCTCTCTCTCTCTGTCTCCCTCCTTCGCTCTCTCTCTCTCTCTCTCTCTTTCTATCTCTCTCTCTCTCTCTCTCTCTTTCTTTCTCTCTCTGTCTCTCTCTCTTTCTCTCTCTCCCCCTCTGTCTCTGTGTGTCTCACTGTCTCTCTGTGTCGCTCTCAGTCTCTCAGCTTCTGTCTCTGGTCTCTGTCTTTGTCTCTGTCTCTGTCTCTGTCTCTCGAAGTCGCTCTGTGTGTGTGTGTGTGTCTGTGCTTCTCACTCTGCACTCTGTGTGCGTGCTTCTGTGTTCTCTCTTCTGTGTTCTCTCTTTCTGAAACGCGGGAGTCCGCCTTTCCCGCTGCTAAGGCGGACTCCCCAGCCAGAATTCTGGCTTCACGGAGGCAGGGTCATTTGGAGGCAGGGAAGGGTCTTCACGACGGATGCTTGTTGACGCTGTAAAGTGTCTGTCCTGGACACTGTAAAGTGTCTGTCCTGTTGACACTGTTACGTGTGCTGTTACGTGTCGTATGATTCTACCCCGGTTCTAGGCGAGGTACTGCTGCACCAAGGTTGCACTGTGAGATAGACCGGTAGTAGTATATATCGAGGATGTTTGGAAAGTATATGAAGGCAGTTGTGTTCTGTGAGTATACTTGGAGAGGACTTTAAGGGATATTCAGTGCATCAAGAGACGTGCACTTCGCACATGCGCGTCTCACACGGCTTTCCGAGCAAGCAGGATATCAGCACCAACGGCTACCATGTTGGAAGAGACGACATGTCGATCACGTGTGTCTCCGCTTTGCTCTCACTGACAATCTTGACCTTGAGTCTCAAACCGATTCAGGCAGTGGCGCCTCTGGCGGCGGATCATCTTCCGCGACGAGACCTGCGCCCGGGACACACTCAGTTCTGGCTTCTGCAGCACACACCTTGAAGTGCTAGACAGGCATCCTCGGCAAAGCATGCTAGTGCCCGCTACTTTCGTGATTGTCGTGAAAGCCTCGGTCTTAGCATCACTGCAGGGGTTTTACTTGCATGTGTGTCAACCTCCCGATCGGTGAGGGCCAGCATTGGTGTCTCTGTGCAGTTTTGGCCCAAGCGCAATCTTTGAGTCTCATGGAGGGCCGCAGGTGGTTTTGGCATGTGGACGCGCAGGGCCGTTGGGTACAAATCTGGCATACGCTATGGCGTAGCTTGGAATTAGCAAGACGGGAAGATTCCAAACGAGACGATGTCGGACGAGATCTTGCAACAGAAGCAACCTCGGAGCCAGCTCCCAGGAAACGCAAACGTGGAGAATCTCCTGAGCCAGATGCCCGTAATTAAGCACCAGCAGATGCTTGTTGCCCGATCAGAGCACAGCAGCATTGCCTAGCAATTGCTGCCTCGTTTTGGCCAAAGCAAATGCATGAAATTTGCAGGCGTGACTACCAAGGGCACTGACAGAGGACCCCTGGTTGAGGAAACAAAAGTACCGCCTTCACCACGGCAGCAGAGTTTGCATCATAACATACGTACGTACAGCCCAGATCGAGCTCTTCCTGTTGTGACTCTTGTGCTGCCGAGACTGGGTGTCACTCGGACGGACTCTTCCGCCAGAATTCCGGCAGCGAGGCAGGGGCTGCAGAGACTCGTCGCGCGGATGCTTCTTGACGCTGTAAAGTGTCTGTCCTGGACGCTGCAGAAGTGTCTGTTTAATTTGTGTCTCTGCATGTGTCTGCTGCAGCAGAAGTGTCTGTTTGTGTCTGAACCCACCGCACCAACACCGTCACAGGGTCCTGAAGGAGGCTGCCCTCAAGAACAACAACAAGGCAATGCAGACTGTGAAAAGCAAGACGACAGCGAAGGCCGTGAAGGCAATGAAGGCAATGAAGACTATGAACAGCAAGACGGCGGCCAAGCCGAAGAAAGCGGCCATGAAGGCTATGAAGACTATGAAAAGCCAGACGGCGGCTATGAAGACTATGAAAAGCAGGACGGCGGCGGCAAAGCCGACAAAGGCCAAAATGGCCAAGTGACAAGAGAGATCTCGGCGATGGAGCTGGAGGAACAAATCAGTGCCGGAGTAGTGAATAGCTTGCTTGAATATGTGGCACCGTGCAGTATTAGCAAGGGGTACTCCAAGTTGGAGAGTACGTCGAGTGCATGAAGGGATCCTGAGGGCTTTGTTGTTGCGATCGTGCTGTTTTGATGTATGGCTCACTATCGGATAACCCAGGTCTTGGCTTGTGCGGGGCTTCGGCCAATCTCAAAGACCCAGAGGTGTTTGGAAAGCAGCAGTTTGTTGTATGCCTCACTATCGGATGACCAAGCCCAGGTTGAACGACCAAAAATCACGAGAAGAGCAGACTAGGCTGCTGAAGAAAGGTATATGCAATCACAGCCGCATTGTCATGATGTCATGCCAAGAATCGTATGCAACCTCCATCCGATTACTACCCTGGTTCTAGGATACTAGACCAGTACCTGGAGGGTTCGAGAAACTCGTCTGTGTTTTACCCTGGGAAGGCCTCAGGGTCGCAGAGGACGAAGATGGTCCACCGCCGCAGCCTCAACAACCAGATAGCCAGCGACAGCAACACAGAGACACAGATGTGATTGATATGTCAATGTGCAGTCATGTTCGTGCATGGCTGTGGTGTGGTCTTGATGACTTTATGCAGCAAAGACGGCCTGCAACAGCAATTTGAAAACCAGCAGTGCCTTTTCTTGACGCCGCCTACCGAAGAGTCTCTATATCCATGAGGCAAGAGCACCTCAACGTTCAGTCCAGTGCGGGCCGGAATCTTTCAAAAATCTTTTCGCCACTTGCAATGCAGGCTGATAGGGCGGACTGGCAGATCTCCGGATGCGACGTACGGGTGTACTCGGCGCCGGATGAACAACACGCCGAGGCGGCCCAGCAGCTGGAAGTGCGGATGCAGATGCAGCTGTTGCTTGGCGTGGCTCTCGTTTGTCGTCAGCTGCAGCTCTGGCTTGTCCACGCTCCCCGGCCCCGGTTTCATCAGTTTGACAAGCAACTTCACGAAACGTAGGCCGCTCAACCAGGGTCTCCTGCTTCTCGTTCTGTTCCGGCTGCTCAGCCTTCTTCTTCTGATTCCATGCGTGCCAACCGGACTTTCCAGATCTAGTCTTCTGGGGAGGAGCCTTTGCGCGGGGATCAGCTTTCGGATTCCGGGCCGCTGCGGGCTTTTTCATCCGCCGATCACGACATCATCGTCGCATTAGCCTTCGATCTTTAATTGGGGCAAGGACTCGCTGTGGATACACGGCACTATAGATTGCTAGAGGTGCGGCATTACTAATAGGTGTACCTGTGTCAGTAGGATCGGGCCTGACTTCCTGCGGCATAGAAACACGGATCTACCACTGGTGCGCAACTCTCGGGGCTACGAAAGTTCCTGTCAAAGAAATCCCCCCTTTCCCCGCGCCCGAGCCCCTGAAAGGCTTCAAGAAAGCTGTGCTGAGGTGCCCAGCCGCAGAGATCCACGGCAGGGACCTGGCAGTTGTGAGGCCGGGAGATCCCTTCTGACAGACTGCTGCTTCAGCTTAGGAAACTCGCAGCACAAACAAAGGTAACAAAAGACACTCTTGACAGCGTCCACGAAGACACTTGGCAGCGTCCACATTTTGCACGACATACTGAGCACACACGACACAGAGGACAGTCTTGAGAGCGTCGCGTCAGCACAGACACTTTGCAGCGTCCCAAAAACTATGACATGCTAGACACTCCGTTTCACACAACCGCATGTTGGTTCTGAGTTGTATCTCGGGGTGGCCTAGTCTGGTCCTACGGTTGCCTGGACTCTGCTGTCTGAACTTGCTTCTCGTCTGGTTTCCGCAGGGATGTGGATGGTTCGGTCTGGCTCACTCTCTGCGACAGCACGTCTCGGACCTTTTTCAGAAGCAATCGCTTCGCTCTTTCTTGGCCTTCTTCTCCTTCTTGATCTTGGGCTCGTCTCTGTTTTTCCACTGCTTCGAGCCCCTCTTAGTGTCCTTCTTCTGCTGCTCCTCGAGCTTCGACGGCTGCAACGGCTCCTGGGGCTCCATGTTACTGTCCGTGTTCTGCTCCTGCTCGGGCTTTGACGGCTGCGACGGCTCCTGGGGCTCCGTGTTCGTGTCCGTCTTCTTCGGCTCCTCGAGCTTCGACGGCCCCGACGGCTCCTGGTGGGAGTCCTCCATCTTCGCCTTCTTCTGCTCCTCCTCGGGCTTGAGAAGCTGCGACAGCGGCTGTGGCAGTGGCCGCTTCCTTCTCGGCTTGGGCGATTCGGCGGCTTTCTTGTTGTCCTGGAAACAACGTGTTAGCAACAGTAGTTAAACCTCAGGTCTAGGGTCGAAGGGGCTGTGTGAGGGTCCACGCGCTGCAGCACTGTCCTGGCTGGGCACAAAATCGCTCAGCTGGTGCTCCTTGATTTCAAGTGTCTTCTTCAAGTCGCGGAGCTCATCATTTTTGGCAGCCACGGTAGAGCACAGATCAAACACTTCGGCCTGGAGTCTTTCTTTTTCTGCATTGCTTTCTGCCAACTCAGCTTTGGCCTGCTTCAGCAGAGCGCTGGTGTCGTGCCACCACATCGTCTTCTCCTGCAATTCGAGGCGGAAATTTGCGAGAGCCAAGTCCTTCTCGAGCCCGAGCTCGCGCCGCAGAGCGTCTAGTTTCTGCTGGCATTCTTGCTCCAGTTGATGTTTTAGTTCACGTTTCTGCTGTGCCCAGTCGTTGCGATGCCCACGACTGATCCTTGGCCCGGCCTCGCTGTAGTACACGTGAACTTTTCTGGTGTCTTCTGTTGGAGCGGCCTTCTCCAGTGGTGGAGGTGCCGGCGGGTACTGCTGCGCCGGGCCAGCTGGAGGCGGAAGCGTTGGTGGCGGTGGAGGCGGACCCATCGCCCGAGACGATAGCAGCTTCGGATTCGGCAACGGAGCGGCCTGAACCTTCGCCTTGGGCGGAGGCCGCCCCGCAGGTTCCGCCGGCCTCATAATACTCGGATCCATGAACAGCAAGAGCGAGAGAAGGCTAGGAGCCAGAGTCAATTCGTGATTGGAAGTCCTTTGTTTGTGCTCACAACAGCTATCATCGTCTATGCCCATGCACGGTTCGAGTCTGACTGGTGCTGCTTGTTTTTCTGTCTTTGAGTCCTGATGGTGAGATCCTTCGTATGTGCTGACAACAGCACTTTCCTGTATCCCTATGCACGATTTTAGTCTGATGTGTGTTGCCTGCTTTTGTGGCTTTGAGCCTTGCTAGGAAAAGAACATACGATGGGCGACTCATGCACTCGGCAAAGCCTGTGACAGCAAGACAGGAAGCCGTACAGACGTGCTTCCGTGAGCGGAGCATGAAAATTTATGCCAGGATGACCTCTGTCCCGTGGCCACAAACCTCAAGACACTTTGCAGCGTCCACAATAATTGCACGACACACTGAGCACACACAAAGCAGATGACACTCTTACAGCGTCCGCAAAAAGGCCTTCAGTATAATTACTTGTGTTTGTACACTGTGCTTGTGCCCACTCACACGCAGCGACGGACGCGCACAGACGAGCACACACAGAGGGGCGCGCACAAAGGGGCGCGCGGAAGGTGCGCGCAGTGGCGCGCGCATTCTTTGTGTAGGGGCACGCACACGGTGTGCACAGCGGCGTGGGCAGGGTGCACACAGGGCGCGCGCAGGGCGCGCGCAGGGCGCGCGCAGGGTGCGCGCAGTGCGCGCGCAGGGTGCGCGCAGGGCGCGCGCAGGGTGCGCGCAGGGCGCGCGCAGCAGGCGCGCGCAGCGGCGCGCGCGCGCAGGGCGCGCGCAGGGCGCGCGCAGGGCGCGCGCAGGGCGCGCGCAGGGCGCGCGCAGGGCGCGCGCAGGGCGCGCGCAGGGTGCGCGCAGGGTGCGCGCAGGGTGCGCGCATGAGCATCTCCGTGAATGGTGGAACCTGAGTCCATTGCGGGACTGCATGACGAGCACACTTCAGAACTATGGCAGTGAAATTCAGCTCGCGGCTGCTCGATACAGCTCAGCACGGTCTGGGCCCTGGATGCCAGGGCCCAGACCTGGCTGAGCGACTGAGTGAACGATGGAACCTGAGTCCATGAAGGGAGTGAGCAAGACTCAAGCAAACACCTCACAACACACACACACACACACACACACACACACACACACACATCTCACCACGGTTTGGGCCCTGGCCCAATTAACCTGAGGCTCTGCAGATAGGCAAGGCAGCAAAGCTTTGCGGTGGGCAGCATGCAGCCAACTTGGCTTTGTCTCAGGAGAACCAGGTGCCGCTTGTGGATTGCTGTCTAGCCGGTGTGGTGGCTGGATACGAAAGCCAGTTTTGTGGCTGTGGGCAACTTGGTTGTTGTTTGTGCTCCGTTTGGTTTGCAACAGAAACAACAACAGCATGATTTTGCAAGAACCGGTGGCAATTGCAGGAACATATGAATTCACATGATTGCATGGTTGCTAAGTAAGAAAGAATGATGCATGTGCCGGCTGCAGCACAACGGCTCTTTCTGAGTAGAGCATTCCGACATGTGTGTGGGTGTTGTATTGCTATCAATATAAAACAACGTAGGTTCAGCAATCTGAACCTAAATCACAAATATTTGGAATTAGGTTCAGCTGGCTGATTCTAATTTCCAAGATCTGAGATTTAGATTCAGCTGTCTGAACCTATCCTCCGGGATCTGTGATTTAGGTTCAGCTGGCTGAATCTAGGTATTATACTTGCAATTAAAGTAAGCTCCTCCGTTAGCCGTTAGTTTTGATTTTTTCTCGATGGCATACCGGTCCTACTACTACTAGTAACACTACTACTACTGCTACTACTACTACTACTACTACTACTACTACTACTACTACTACTAGTACGACTACTACTACTACTACTACTACTACTACTACTACTACTACTACTACTACTACTACTACTACTGCTACTACTACTACTACTACTACTATATACTACTACTACTACTACTACTACTACTACTACTACTACTACTACTACTACTACTACTACTACTACTACTACACTAGTACTACTACTATACTACTATTATTACTGCTACTACTACTAGTGGTTCTGGTTGTGGTTGTGGTTCTTCTTGTTGTTGCTGCTGGTTGTTGTTGTTGTTGTTGCTGCTTGTTGCTGTGCTTGTGGTTGTTGTTGTTGTTGTTGCTGCTGTTGCTTGTTGTTGTTGTTCTTCTTCTTCTTGCTGTTGTTGTGGGCACTCGTGTCTTGGAGCATCCCCTTTCGGGAACTCGTAGGTGGCACCATGCAAGGTGCAAGATGAATTCTTGAATTCGTCCTTTCACTTCCGAATAATCTTCCGGCAAGGCTGGGACCGACGTTTGAGGTAACGAGCTTTCATGCTCTGGAGCAGGTGCTGCACACGTTTCAAACGGCGGTGTCGCTTCTTGGCAGAAGCAGCGACCGACCAAGCATCGTGCAGCCAGATCCACATGCTTCTCTTCGGTTGAAGCCAGCACCTTTCATTCAATGCTATAGCTTTCGGGCATGCAAGGACACATGCATGCATGACATCAACACCTGGCCTCCAAGTGGGAATGTACACATAGGAGTCAGCCGGAAGTCGACCCCACATGTTCGTGCACAATGGCGAGGCTTAGCGGGGGAGAGAGTATACTAAGCAGCCACAGCTAGAGCCAAGCACAGCAGAAGCAGTCACCCACATAAGCAGCCACCACGGCTTGCAACGTGCACGTGTCCTACAACACCAGCCAACATTTTTGTGTAAGCACTGGGCTTCTGCATGACATGGAGAAATGCAAGCAGCTGCACTATTACTTGTGTAACTACGACGACTACTACTACTACTACTACTACTACTACTACTACTACTACTACTACTACTACTACTACTACTACTACTACTACTCGGCTCTCTGCAGGCCCAGGACGACCAACGTCCGGGGCCCTGGAATCCACGGCCTCAGAGGGCGCTTTTCAAGCACAGTAGGTGCAATGAGCCGGGTTTCTTAGCACTGAGGACTCAGTGCCCAGTCCTTCGAGTTTTTAGCCCCGACATGCTGTAATTGAAACATAATGCTAAATTTCACTGAACCGAGACCCTGAAAGGGGTCAAGAGAACCGTAAGGGGTGGGTTGAGCTGAGCCCCGAAAGGGTTCAACTGAGACCTCCAAAAGAATCAGCAAAACCCTGGAAGGGCTTTCAAAGGAACCCCGAAAGGGGTGTGAGCGTAGCATGACACTTCAAATTGAAGGCTCCTCGTCATGTCGGTGTCGTCGGATACTCGGCTTTCAAAGAGCAATTGCCACGGAGGATGCTGCCATGGATGTTGACAAGCTCAGGCGAGGGCCATCCAATGCCAATGCACCCCCGTTGGGTGTAGGTCTGCCATTGACACGCAGCGTCTATCAGTCACGAACTGGCTGGTCAAACATACATGATGCAACGCTCAGGCAATGGCCCATGGATCACGTAGCGCCCCCAGTGGTCTGCTTGTTGTGTATCTAACAATATGCTCAACCCAAAACACCGAAGGAGAAAACGAGTCTTTATTGAAAGCGGTTTTAAGCGTGGGGGTTTCTTTGCCAACAAAAACAGGTTTCTCGCAAGTGGTTGAACAAACCGGTTTGTGGCGTAGGGTTTAGCTTTACAAACAGAAAGAAAACAAGAAGGCTTTTGTCATTTCAGCTAAAATGCGTCCAAAAGCAAAGAAGCACTTCAGAAAAAAACGGTTTTCGCACACAACCGGTGGGGTTTCCGCTTGTTGCAAACAAAACCGGTTCGGGTTTGTGTTGAAAGCGGTTTCTGGCGTGGAGGTTTATGACAAAACCGGTTCTTGCGAAAAAAACTTTCTCGCGATTGGTTGGACAAACCGGTTTGTGGTGTGGGGTTTAGCTTTGCAAACAAAAAGACAACAAGAAAGAATTTGATTTCAGGCAACATCTGTGTGGAGAGGTCTGGGGCTCATCATGACGTGTCGTGTGCCACTTGATCAGCGGCCATGCCATGCGTGATGACGTGTCGTGTGCCACTTGATCAGCGGCCATGCCATGCGTGTCAACATGTGGGTGGAGAGGTCTGGGGCTCATCATGACGTGTCGTGTGCCACTTGATCAGTGGCCATGCGTGTCAACATGTGGGTGGAGAGGTCCGGGGCGGATCATGATGTGTCATGCGCCACTTGATCAGCGGCCATGCCATGCGTGTCAACATGTGCCACTTGATCAGTGGCCATGCCATGCGTGTCAACATGTGCCACTCAACAGGCCCGACCTTCTCCTGCGCCTACAACAAAACATAGCAGCGAAAACTTTGGGCCCTGGAATCCAGGGCCCATTGAAGATGTTATCGATTTGAAGGAATCCTGTTCTCTCTGACCACGGTTCCCTGCAAAGTTCATGTGGAATGGGTTTATAGGGTTCAGGGTTCAGGGGTTTAGTTTTCTTTTAGGGTGTTAGGGGTTAGTTTTTACGGAATGGGCCGCTGAGCATACAATTCATAGTAGACCGACCTGATGATGCGCTTTCGCAACCCTGCAGGACTGGGGCTGCTGCTCCGAAAATGTCAAAGCTCCCCCGTCGGGACATCATCTGCACAGCGCTCAATCAAGTTGGCACAGATGTCGCTTACTTGTTGCCTTCGTGTGCACTCGCAGCTTTGCAGGCCCGGGGCTGCTGCCAAGATGTCAAAGCTCCCCAAAAGAACATCAACTGTGCAGCTCAGGATGGCAGGCAGGCACACTTAAGACTTGCATACGCGCTCACAACTCAGAAAGACTGGGGCTTTGGCCCTGTCGATTTGTGCTGCTGCAAACATCCACACGCACTCACAGCTCAACAAGACTGGGGCTTTGGCCATGTCGATCTGTGCTGCAACATGCCAAAAACTCGCAGCATACGCAGCACAGGTGTGTCTTTTTTATGGGTGTAATGCGACATTCAGAGCTCAGACCGGCCACTCACAGCGGCTAACATACGGGGCCACTATGCAGCGGCAGAATCAGTCACGGCCACTTTGACAGCGGCAGACCTACACATGTGATATCCGCACAGCACAACAACGCCACTGCATCAGCCCCAGTGACAGTGGTTTTTTCCTCAGGGGAAAGTTATGTTAAGGATGGGAACTTATTGTGCTCAGGTGGGGGTGGGGTGTTAAGGAGCGGGAGTCTTTTTATGTTTTCATGCTTATTTTTTTCCTTTCCCAGCACTGTCCGTCGAATTCCAGCAGCCAAAATAACAAAGACCCAAATACAATCAAAAAGACCCAAATACAACGAAAACTACTTTCTTGTGCAAGGAGAAGGTCGACCAGGTCGTAGAGGTACCCAACTTTCTTCGAATGTACTGGTTAATCACCCTCGTAGAGTAGGGAAACTTCCTTGTAGAGTTCCTCAATCCCAGCACTCCTCCATGTCGGAACGCTCCAGATGCCCAGGCCTTCGGGCTTCCACCTCCACCATCTGGTTCCTGAGTCTCCCGCGAGAACTTCTGGTTTGGTAGGAGATCAAACAATCTCTGAATGACCGCCTCATCGATGTCCTCGTCCTCGTACAAGATCTCCCCCGCGGAGTCCTCTGGGCCCAGAACTTCTCCATCATCACAAACAGACCCTCCAGAACCTCCGCCTTGATCCGCACCAAGAACTGCAACTCGAGGTTCACGCGGTAATTGGGCGCCGCCTTTCTCGACAAACTTTTCCTCGAGACCCGAGGCCTCCCCGTTGTCGTTCTCCAAATCATCATCGTAGACGGGTTCCCTGTCACCAAACACCGCCATCCTCGGAGCTGACTTCCCAACAATCTTCCTTCTAGTGGCAGGTGGGCTCCCTTCATCCGGGCGCTCATGCTCCTCGCCTCCAACCAGGAGCTCTCCGTCTCCTCGATGGGCTCCCGCGTCGATCAGTTTGGACTTGTCCTTCACATTCTTGGTGTGAGTGAAGATCCCATCCACGTAGACCAAGTGTCCATCATTCACCTGGTCCGAAAGACCTAAGTACACACCTTCGGCCCAGCGCTCTTCAAACTCCATCCTGATCAGGGCCCCAGAGTCTGCGTACCTCCTCTTCTTCACCAACACCTTAGCCCCAAAGGCTGCGGCCATCCTTGGTAATTGTCGTAGAACACGTGCTCTCTGCATTGAAGCTGCCGCCTTTGCCGCCACAGGCCAGAAGGTCTTGTCCAGGGTGGACGAGGAGAGAATCTTCCTTGTAGTAAGCTTCACCTCCTTCACCGCACACTCGGCCGCGCCATTCTCCTGAGGAACCCCGGGTGTACTCGTAGAAGTCCGAATAGCTTGGCCATGCAACCACATAGTCAAAGACCTCGTCATCAACTGAGCGGCTCGGTCCGAATGAAAACGGAGCACCGGCACATTTAAAGACTGGAGGTAAAGGACGATCGATTGAATCGCAGAGGCCACTGTAGGTCCTTTGTCATTGAGCATGGGCTCTGCGAAAAGCAGATAGGTCGATTCCGGAGCCTTCACATCCATTGGTATGGAGCCCACCCCAGCTCCATCATCAGCTTCATCATCGTCCAACTCCGAAGGCTCGTACTCCTCACAGTCAGTAGGAACTTCTGGTAGCGGAGCCTTCCCACTTGGGTCCTCATCAAAAAGGTCCTTGCAGCCTGCCTCAGCTTCCGTCGGCAGGTCCGTCCCAGTAGGTTCAAACTCGCCCGTAACATAGGACTTAGGGAGTGTAAACTTCGCCACCAACAGGTACTTCATCTTCGCAGCCTTTGAACGATCTCCACGCGCTCCGGGGTCCTCTCCAGAGGTTCTGAAAGGTCCCGTGATGTCAACATTGAGACAAAACAGAGCCGGGTGCTCCACACGAGCATGCCTATGCCCTGTGGCTCCATGGGAGACACACTGAAGGCAGTCTCTTCTCGATGGGTAGTGGCCCGACTTCACGTGCTCCTTCCACTGCTCGGGACTCATAGCCTTGAGGGCGCTCTCCTCCTTCATGGCCTGGAGCTTGAAGCGATCAGCACCAATCGTCTTCGCAAGAGCATGCTTCATCGCCATAGGCCACTCGGATCCACTGACCTCTGCGCTCCCCTCCTCGGCGACGTAGTCCCTCCTCAAACAGTCGAGCTCATAGTTCGTAGTAGCCACCGTCGGTCTCCGTGGTCCTCCGCCCCATGCCCCCTGGTCAAACTCAATCTCCTTCATGGAGGCGGCCGCCTTGAAATCCTTGAGGAGGTCCACCACCTCGCCGCTGTTGGCTCCATTTGCCTTGGTCCAGAGAAACCCCGTTCGTCCCGTAGGTCTCGCAAGCCTCCCAACGACGTACAGCAGAAGAGCTCGGGCCAACCTCACCGCTTGAACCTCAGTCCCAGCCGAGGACGAAGGCGTAGCACCCGTGATCGCAGCAATCCTTCCCGTCGCAGCTCCCCACATCAGCGCCTCATAGGCTTGAGGAAGTAGGCCACCATGAACTGACACCACAACAGCGTCCTCGCCGTAGGTCTCCGGCCTCAACAAAGCCTCGTCCCGATGTACAGGTAGGTGAACAATCCATCGCTTGGACTCCATCATGCTTTTCCGAAGTCGCCGGGGAAGGGGTAGCGCCTTCAGGGTGTTCCATCCATCATGTAGTCGCACATCCGGACACAACGTATCCAGGACCCCTTCGGAAAACCCCTTCATGAAGGATCCATGAACTGCCTTCCACAGGTTCTTGGCTGAGCCGCTCTCTACATACCTCATCGCATAGGTGGTCCACGGCAGCTTCTCCTCATGGACCAGGTGCTCGAGCTTGCTCTTGAGAAGGTGCACCCCGTCCTTGAACTCCTTGAGCTTCTTCTCCTCGATGAAGTTCACGAGCCTGGCCGCCTGATCCTGAGCCAGCTCTGGGCATCCACCACGCAGCGACGTCTTGAGTTCCCCCCATACTGGGTGAACCACCTTGAAGACGCCCCTTTTCCAGCTGATCTCACACCCAGCGCTCACCAACTCCGCCATCGGCAAGATCGGCTGAGTGTCCGGCGACGTGGAAAGGATCGCCCCCGACTCGGCTTGCAGCAAGTCTCGTCGCTCATCATTGGCCAAGGTAACCGACACCTTCGTCGCCATATCCAACTCCACTTCATCACGAGGTTGCCGGAGGATGTGCGTGGCCCCGGAGTCGATCAGCGTAGGGACCTCAGGCAGCCCACTGAAAATCCGTTGATCCAGCGGAGTCCGCTGGGACTTTCTCATCTCCACTGCCTCCTCGTTCACCTTGATCGCCTTCAAGCGAAGCTCATCCAGTTGCTTCTGAAGACTCTCCAACGTGGACGTTGTAGATGACGAAGACGTTGTCCCAGAGCTCATCAACGACTTCAGGGCCTGTGCAGCATCACGCAAAGCCTCCTTCACTTCTCCTCCAGTGTTCTCGGATGTAGTAGGTGACGTTGGCGCTGATGGCTGTGGTTCTGGCTCCATTGACATCGACCGTGCTGCGGGATTTCCCCCCCCCTTCGCAGCGTCGTCCTTGGCTGAGGGAGTTGTCGGAGCACTCTTCGCCTTCGCCTTGCCCTTGCCCTTAGCTTCTCCACCATCGGACTTCGTAGGACAGGCGTTCGACACATGGCCCTCCGCCCCACACGTGTAGCATCTGTTCTTCTTGGAGACGCCCTCGAAAGAGTGGACAAACTTGCACGCAGCTCCACGCCTGCATCCTCCCGGCTCGGTGAACCACTTACACTTCTTTTCCCCACTTGTAGTAGAGGTCGAAGGAGGCGTAGTCGTTGATGTCGGGGTAGGTTGCGGCCTGGGCGGCGGTTGGCCACTCGGCTGCAGTGGTCGAAGCTTCGGGTCCTTTGGTGGCTCACCAGTCCCAGTCCTTTGCGGAGAGGGAAGTCCATTCACGAGGTTCTCGGCTTCGGCCCTTAAGTGCTGATGCAGCTGCAAAGCTGACTCCCACGTCGGACTCACATCAACACCCAATCGGCTCTTCACAAGCTGAGTCCTGAAGGTCACATCCTTGTCCTTTGCCCACAGGTCGGCCACGAGGTTGTTCAGTCCTCTCACCAGCAACGAGGGGTCGGGCTTCGCGATGTTCAAGTTGTCCGCACGAAGTAGCAGTCGTTCCCACTGCCTCAACACTGTGACCAGCTCCTGTGCCGTCTGGGCCTTTTGCGGCGACACCAGGTACTGTAGGATGTAGGCCTTCTCGCTCTCGCCTCCAGGTTGGTACATTGTGCACAGCCTGAACAACAAAGCCACCGGTGACCTCGTAATCGTCCTGGCCACCATCTCGGTCCTGACTGACTCCGACATCGCCTGCAACATCATGCCAGCCGTCCTCGCGCTCAACCTCGAAAATCTCCCCTTCTCAAGGTCGTCGGCCTTGGGGGGCTTCAGCGCCAGCCTCTCATAGGGTCCCGAGGCTACCCACTTCTTGTAGTTCTCCTGAGCCCGCTCCTTCACCGCGTCCCACCACCAAGAACTGCTATCGGAAATGTCTCGCAAGGGACCGTCAATCACCTCGATCCAGTCCTGAAGGGCGACTGCATTGCCATTGGGGCTCGGAAGAAGAGGCAGCGTTGTAGTTCCCGGCTTACATTGCTCCGGGGTTTCATCATCTCGCCTCTTCTCAGCCTTTTCAAGGTGGTCCAGCTGAGCCTTTTGAAGCTGCTGCATCCCTTCTGCCAGAGTCTCAAGCAATCTCTCGCTTGTAGTCCTTGTCGTGGAAACATCCTGACCCGCATTCTGTGGAGGGAATCCCTGGCTCTCATCGTTCGCACCCGGACGCCCTGTAGCCAGCGACTCACACCTGGTAGCACTGATACTCGGACCGTACACCGTAGGAGGCCCTGCAGGTCCTTGCAGATCATCACCGCGAGGAAGTGCTCCAGGTAGGTCCTGAGTGCCCACAACACGACTTGTCCCCTCGCACAGCCCTGGAGGTCCATCACGACGCTCATCTGCTCGACGACCACCACCGACTGACTGGCTAGGCGCGTGTGACTCACCGACTGACTGGCTAGGCGCATCATAAATAACGCCACGAGGATCTCCATGATGCCGACGTCCATCGTCTCCTTCTGGAACCCTTGAACGCTGATCACTCTGAGGATCATGCTGTAGACCTCGACCTTCACCATCTCCAGGCACCCTCTGCTGACAATCACCACGAGGATCTCCATGATGCCAATGTCCATCGAAGCCTTCTGGAAGCCCCTGAATACGCCCACCACGGGGATCTCCATGATGCCGACGTCCATCGTCTTCTTCTGGAACCCTTTGAAGCGGCTCACTCCAAGGATCCCCACGCTGCCAACGACCGTCGAACCCATCTGGAAGCCCCTGAATGCGCTCACCACGAGGATCCCCTTGAGTCCGGCGTGCATCAAAACCTTCCGGAAGCCGCTGAGGTCTCTCGCCTCGAGGATCTCCATGATGCCGAGGTCCATCGTCTCCTTCTGGAAACCGCTGAGTCCTTTCACCTCGAGGGTCTCCATGATGCCGAAGTCCATCGTCTCCTTCTGGAAGCCCTTGAAACCCATCTCTCCATTGGTCCATACGGGAGACCCGATCTGCCATCAGTCGAGACCTTTCAGCACGAAGGAACCCGATCTCCTCTCGCATCTCTTCCAACTGGAAAGCCTGAGCCCTCATCATTGCATCCATTTGACGCTGAACTTCTGCTTGAATCTCCGACGAACCTGCCGTAGACGCTCCTTGGGACTGCCCTCCTCTACCATACAACCACGGCGCCCTCTGAGAAAACCGCATCATCTGCTCCCAAGCTTCCCTTGAGAACAACGGCGCATCCGCCTCTGCAGGTAACCTGCTGCTGCCGACTGCTGTGCTCGTGCTGGTGATGCTGTCGGCGTGAGTGCTTGCTGTGTGGCTCGTGAATGTCGGGGCCCCTGAGTAGGCGTCGTATTAAACCCAACCGAACCCAACACAGACTGGCCTTGATTGCTCAAGAAGTCATTCAGCCTTGAAATCCAGCGCACAACAGTCAGTGAAGAGGCTCCTGGTTGAACCTCCATGTCAGCTCTGACAGCATGCACGCTACCGTCTTGTAACGCCATCGCTGCCGACATAGACGCTTGACTGCTGCCCTCACCCGATCCAGACACTACAGCCTGTCTCGCAACAGCAGCAGTCTCCTGTAACATAGGTCGAATTTCCTGGCCCGGCCTGTTCAACTGCACAGCCATGGCCTCCTGAGTAGTCGAAGGTCCTACATACGCCACGATCTGTCCTGAGTTGCTCATCGAGGCCTGGGCTCCTTGGTGAGCTACACCATTCGGTAACCCTCCAACGGAACCCAATGTCGCTCCAGCCCTTGGCGGAACTTCATCATGCGTAGCGGGAGCGCTTGGGCTCATCACCTGAAGAGCAGGGGCATCCACTGACCCTTCAGCTGGAGCTGACATCTGACCTCGTCGCCTTCTCAGTATCGTTCCAAGTTATCGGATGATCCCCGAAGGAATCCACACAACCATGGAAGGAGCGCACAGCCCTCTACTTTTTTACACACCAAAGAACGTGCTTGCAGCTCTAGGCGCTTCTGTGCATAGCCTAGGGTAAGCGATTACCGCTTCTGCATGGTTTGGCTTCTGCTGATCATGGCTTTAGCCCTGCATGCTGGCTTCTGCCTCTCATGGACCTAAGCCTCTGCGCGCTGGGCTTCTGCCGATCATGGCTCTCTGAGCCACTCCGCTTCACATACACAAAGGCACCTGACAAAGGCATGCTCCACACGCCTTCCTATACATGAGGGAGGCTTCAGGTATCAGCAGTAGTAGTAGTAGTTGTAGTAGTAGTAGTAGTAGTAGTAGTAGTCTTGGTCAGGGGCATCTATGCCGTGGAGCGATCTGCTGCGCTGCAGAGAGCAAGGGCGATTGTCTCTAGAAGGCGGACCAGCATTCCTGCCCACTCGGAGGTCGTGCCCATATTTGCCGTTTGAGTGCGCAAATTTCGACAGGACAGTTGGATTACAGGCAAGCAAAAAGTCCGCCTTCAAATCCAGCATCGTGATTGACACGTTGCCTCCCAGTTCGCGGCTCGGAGTGCTACCCAATATACAGCCCGTCCCTCCAAAGGAGAAGGCTAGCAGGGTACAGTTAACGGAGGTCGCGAGGTGTATAGACTTGAACGCACAACAGCAAGAGCAACCTGCGCTGCACCGCCAATCTATCAGCGCCAGCCTACTTTGAACAACCAGATCCAATAACCGTAACCGAGCATGTTGCAATCTCATTCCGTTATTTGAACGGCCCTGTTGCTGCAGAGTTGTAAAGTACGGCTTCGTGCGTGCAAGTTGTGTATGGTATGGCATGTGCGGCAAAGGCCGCCATCAAACATCGATCATGCATTTGAGCGGCGAAACATGCGGCAGTAGCACTTGTTGGATTTATAGTTTTGTGAAGTGACAGAGTAAGAAAGGTTACCACTCGGCCGCGTCTCTCGACGATCGTCCCGAGTTCCAGGGGCTTGCACCTGAGGTGGGCCCGTCATGGAGCCACAGTGGTCCTTCATCTACTTGCACTCCTTCAGCCAAAAAGGTGCCCCTGTTGAGTTTGGTGGGAATCATGCAGAAATGCTCTCGGACTGCGCAAGCCATGTAGGCAGATAGGCCTTAGCCAATGCCAACTGCGAAGATGCTTTCTCTGAGAGCCTGTGCTTGCGGGCCTGCCAGCAGACTTAGTCAGTTTGATGTGCTCAACTCATACTGCCAGCTTCTGTAGTTCTGTAGCATGACCGTGGTCGTTGACAAGCTCGAAGTCGGGGAAGTCGGTTGCTCAGGTACAGACTACCTTGATTTTCCACACTATTTCAACGTCAGGGCCCCAACAGTGCCGTTTTGCATGGATTTGTGCTGCAGCTGTCGTCCGACGGTCGACCTGAGGTTTGCGGGGCGAACGTTCGGGTGGTTGTACCCACTGCGCCTCTTTTAGAACAGCAGTGCTTCAAGGAGAATGCGCACCATGCCTGTACTTCCCACGCAATTGTGTCTGCATGGCTCTGTGAGAGTGTTACTTCGTATGCCACGTAAATGCTTCAGCAGATGAAGATGGTGGCTTTTGCGGTGACTCATCCTTGTAGGACTGGTACGTTTGGCGTGGCGAGCGTCTGCAATGGAGACATCCTCAGGTAGCGGCAGGTAATGCAGAGCAGAGGCATGGACTTGGCATGGACAAAGTGTGGGTGCTGCTGCGGAGGTGCTTGTCTTGAGTCTGTCATTCAGTAACGCATACCGGAATCGTCGTGCGCAGAAGTTGAGGCGCCGCATCAAATTCAACGCCTGGTTCGATTACCTGACCGACAAGGCAGAGCTTCTGGCTTGCTGCGTAGAACATTCACTAGGCTGCAAACAAAAAGCCTTACGAGGTGCTGACAAAAGTTCCTCTGGTAGCGGCTAATCCTGTCACTCGCAGGCACACATGATTAGATACAGTGCGATACGCGGGCCATGAAACCCAGTGCCTTGCGCGTGATCATGAATGCTGCTTGCTCCAGCCTTTTCTCTTGGCTCTACTCTACGTCTTTTCTCAACAGCGTTCAACTTTGAGCTTGCTGCTTGGCTGCAGTCTGCCAGGACCTGATGTCATGTTGCCTCCAGAAGTTATCAGACAGGTATGCAATGCATAGACTCACCATCCTGCCGAGGACTGTGATGGCGAAAGCACTGACTTTCGCATTGTCTGTGACAGCCGCTGATTTGCATTTACAGCTCCCAGCTCTCTCATGCGATGTTGCCTTGTGACATCTTACTGCTAGACCTTGACGCGACAAGCAGTTTCTGCATTCTTCACATGGACGGTCAAGGCATTTTCCTTGGTTATGTCGACGGACATGACAGACATGGCCAACGTCTTGGCTGCCGATGGGGAGTGTGCTGCGGGCCAGGCCGAGTTGTAGCAGAAGCCGTCGCCACACACGGTAGCTCCATACTTCAGAAACACTTTGGCAGGAATGCGCCCTGAACGCTTTGCAGCAGAAGGCAGTAGTTGCCCAACTGCAGGCAGAGGCCGGTGGACCCCAGCATTCGGGCTGGTATTCGGGCTGTGATCTCTGCAGCGTGCTGTCTGGAGATAAACTTTTGACATGGAATGTAGCCTCCCGTTTGCGAGAAAGTCCGTCCAGCAAAAAGGGCCTGTGGGCTCTATCTCTGGAGAGGACTCTGTGGAGAAGTTCGCTGCTGCTTTGGAGGAGGGCGAAGAGGAGTTGGCAGAGGCCGCAAGCTGAAGAATGCAACTCAAGAGGCGGTTAGTCTGGTGTGCTGACTTCGCTCTGAGTGTTTTAAGTGAGACTGAGCGGTAGAGAGATCCCTTTGAAGAGCCCCTCAGACTTGTGATGGTTGAGGCTGAAGCGCAGAGCAAGGTTGGACAGACGGCTTCGGATGCGGCAGCTCGGCGACAGTATTCTGCAAATTGATTCGCGTCGGACTGATTGAGCAAACATCAGCTGAGCAAGAAGTGCTGCGTAGATCATCTCCGCGGAATCACGCGAGTTCAACTGACATGTTACGAATCTGTCAGCAAAGGAGAAATGGGGCCCATCGCCGCCTCCACCGCCCGCCTTCAACCCTTACTGGGGGAACCCTTACGGGCAAATGAGGCTTGCCAGGAGTACTAGGCGTGCCGATTGATAGGTGCGCTTCCCTTGAGGCTTGAAGGCATCCGGACTTACAAAAGCGATGTGCCCAGGAATCCTGGGTTCAACCCATACGGTGGCAGCCCGTACGGTGGCAACCCTTATTCGGTGCCAGGCCTAGGCGCTGCGAGGGTTCCCTCCACATAGTGAATTTATGCAAAGGGCAAGCACAGCAGTGGGACTGGGACACTCGTCAATGGCGTGGCAGACATGTCAAGAGGGCTGATGCTGTCGAAGCTTTCGTGATTGCTTTGATTGAACAAGAGGGTGTAGGATGTTGTAGACTACATCAGATTCGTGATGATTCGTGAATGCCATGGATGAGGCGTTGGAGGCTGCCTGACCAAGATCCAGGAGAGGAGTTGCGATTGCTGCTTCAAATGTGCAATGAACGAATGCAGCAGCATGCAGTCGCAAGTGGATCGCCATGCTTCAGTTAACCATCCCTGGCCCAGCAACAGACTGCGACACTCCTGGAGTAGCGCAAGCCATCAAGCTTCTGTCTTGAAGCAGCTCCTCCTCTCAGTTTATATAGCTTCAATGAACCTTTGCCAGCAATCAATGACATGATCCAACAGGGCTCTTCTTGCATGGTCTTCAGCTGCGCCAAATCACGCGGGCCGACGACGTGCAACCTCGAGGAGCATTCCAGTGCAGTGCTACAGGAAGTCCTCGGAAACTTCCGCATGTGCATCCCCAGCCCCATCAGGACTACACCTGCTACTGCCAGCCTGGAAGCTTGGCTGGTTTGAGCTTGTCTAAAGGATGGCAGTCGCTAGAATCAGATGCCTTTGATGGTTCTGCATTGAAGATTTTTGTGGGTTCGAACATCCAGGACTTAAGCCTTGTTTCGCTTGAGACCCCGAACACGCAACGGATCAGAAACAGGATTCTGCTCCGATGGCAAGGGCTGCGTGCCGCAGACGCACATGTACCGCTGAGCCGCCAGGCTGCAAGTCGGAGCTTGTGGCAGCGAGAGGAGACCGATACAAATGAAAGAGCAAGATAGACACCTTGTGTTTGCGAAGTCTCCCCCGGAAAGTGCCATCCAAGAAAGGCTCTTGGGCCGCTGCCGTTCGCATGACCATGCCTGGGCTGCAGAGTTCTGTGCTCGCCGGTGCCGAAGAATTTCTTGCGGAGGTTTTCGCTTCAGAGCATGCCGACCTCAGCCAAGAGAGCTGGGAGCTGACCTCGAGGGAAAAGAATCTGCAAAGAGCTCTACGAAGAGCTCGAAAACCGTTCTTCCAGTGCAGGCCACAGGGGCTCCTGGTTCGTGCCGTGCATATGATGTACACCCAACTGCACAGCGGAGTCGGATGTGATGGAACAAGCGTTTGCGGGCGGGCCTTTACCACCCAACATAGTTGCGAAGACGCACAGAGATCTGCAACTCACCGACGAAGGAAGTGGAAAGAAGTCGCAACTCTTGGTTGCTAGGTGCAACTAGACGAGAAACCTGCAAAGCCTCAGAAATTTCTCCTTGAGCTGCAAGTTTGGCGAACGTCTGTGCGCCCAGCACAGCTCGATCTCTTGACCATGTTTCCTATGTGTAGAAGTTTCTGGTCCAGTCTACCCACGAGCTCCTGCTGGGCTTCATTGAATGATCGGCTTCCTCAAATTCCTGCTAATACGCACCGGGTTGACAAACTGTGGGGAGCGGGTGCAGAATAGTTTCGGTGCTGTGTCGCCTAAAGCTACAGGGCATAGCCACGAAACGGAGAATTCATGAGAATACAACGCAGTCGGCAGGGTTGCTGTCGTACACCGGGCTGTCGCAGGGCGGGGTTGCCGAGAATGAGATTTGCATAAAGAGTCTGATGCTCAGTCAAGTCTTTCGACATCCCTTGATTTAAAACTCGGGTACTGCAGTTGCTGGAGAACTCGAGGTCTGCTTGCCGTCCGTGAGAGACTGCATGGACTCCTCAGACAAGAGGCTCCCGTTATGCCCGCGCAAGTGTATGCTTCTCAACATCGTGACTTTCCTCTCTCTCTCTCTCTAGTGTTGGTTTGCTTGTTGCATCTTTGGGACTTCTCATAGTTGGACTATATCTTCAGGTGCAACGCGTGGGCGACCCGCGCCGCGTGATCGTTGGCGGAGCCTCGCAAGGATGCTGCGCCGCCCGCACGCAGTTGGTTGGATTTCGCTTTCGACTCCCCGTCCACGACATGGGACATGGATTTGGCAGCCCCTTGCAAAAAGAGAGACTCCGAGGCAGCGCTCGATGCGGCCCTGACTTTCGAGCAGGATTGGCTTCAGTTCTTGTGTTTCTCTCTTCGGTACAGGTATGGCCTGGTCTCAGAGGTACGACAAGAACGGGTTGCTCTTCAACCTCTGTACCATGCGCATATTTCTGTGAATGAAGATTAACTTGTATGTTCTAAGCTGTTCGGCGCCCAGAATCTACCTAGGTATCGGTGCATGTAAATCTGTCCACCACTGTATCTCTGTGTATGCAAGTGTAGGTGCATAATATGTATGTTTTCGCATGCATGTGAAGGCGTACATGCAAGCAGTGGTTCATGTGTGGGATTGTTTGTGTCAAATGCATGTTTGGACAGACGTATGGATGTATCATGTGTGAATGCGTTCATGTATGCACGAACGCATTCATGCACGGTATGTAGTCTTGGGCGCATGGCATTGGAATATATGTGCAATGGGCAGCTCGCACTCACGGCATGTACTGCAGTATCTGATCGCGTGCGGGGCGTGTGGTATGTAAACATCTTGGGCGGCGCGACATAACACACCCATGATGGGCTGGAGATGTATCCGATAGTGCCGTGGGCCAGGATGCAGTACCTCTGCTGTGCATGCAGGTACATCGGTCAGCCCTATATGCAAGCACAAGCGCGCACAAATATGCATATGCACTGATGTGGGCATCCGCCGTGTGCAACTGCAGCTCCATCTCCACGGATGACACAACCTTGACACAACCACCCATAGTGCAGAAAGGAGATGTGATAGTCATGCCGACAACTTATATGTAAATGGTTGAATTTTTGTTGGCTGGCTGCAAGTTTTGGGCTCCAGCAGTTGTCCTTCGTCATCCCGATTGCTCCCGCAAGGTCCTTAGGCGACCGGAATCAATTCAATGCTTTGGACAACTAGGGAGCTTGTACAGGATGAGACAGAGATTCCGACTCCTTAGGTGCATGCACTTCCAATGGCGCTTGGCTCTGCAAATGACAAGCAGAACTCGGCTGAATCCGGGTGGCCTAACAAGGTGAAACGGGGAAGCTCCTCGAATCACAAGCAAGATTGGCGAGCTGCCCAGCACAAGCAGAAGCCACAGGCAGACAGTTGGAATGGAGACTTGGCGGCATGAAGTTGAAGAGAGGTTAAACGGCCTGCTGGTGTTTTGTAGGTTTGGCTTGGTAGTTTCTTGCGACGCAGGCAGAGGTTCACGATTTTCAATGCAAGCCTAGGCCATCCTGCATGGAAAGCTTCCGATGAATTCGATGCGTGCCGTCCTCAGCTTGTGAAACAGAAGGAGAAGGCCCAACGCACTGGCAGTCTCAAGACTTGCGGCCGCCAGGTGGTCCAAAGGCGGTGGCACCAAGAGTTGGTCGAAGACTCCGAACACCCACAAGCAGAGTTATGAAGCCGACAGCGTGGAGCAAGGGCTTCTCATTTCTGCAGTGCAGGCCGGTTGAGGGCTGAGATCGGTAGCAAAGACGAGTCTGGGAAGAATGCCGATCCATCAGCTTGTCATCACCACCTCACTTGGCGTGTGCAGTGTCGCCATGAGTCCTCTGTTCAGGCACTCTACCGTGAAGAGCTTCTGCCACAGGATGTGGGGTCCTTCAAGCTGCTTCATAGTAAGAGAACTGCCAACTTCAAGAACCTCATACACAGGGCTTTGCAAATGCATGAGGTCCTGCTGCAATGGTGGCTGCTCTGATCCCAGCCATACAGGGTCGGGAGGGCTGACAAGATCGACTATGTCCCAGGCACACCACTGACGGAGCTCTCGCAAGCTTGGAGGATTCCTGCACCGCCCATGAAAAATCACCGGTGACCTGGTTGCCACCGGAGGAGATCCAGACAGCTGCGTTGGCGGCGCGGGGCCGCTTGCAGGTCGGGACCTCGGGTGTTTCCCTACAAGAAGAGTTTAAGTGGACTTAGGGTTTCCGGAAGCATCTTCTTGCTTTGAGGTCCAGCGCTCAACGACTGGGAGGAGTGATGCAAGTCTGAGGGCTGAGAACGGTGTTGCAGGCGGATATTCTTTGACACGCTTGTGCCAGGAAGGGATTTGCAGTCCTGCTGAAGAATCCGCCGGAGTGGTTCCACGAATTCCCCGAGGACTTGAGCGACAAGGCCCCGCACAGATCAGGTGTGGTGCCTGCGCTAGAACATGCTAGAAGTCTTATGCTCTGAGATTCCAGTGGATGCATTCGATGAAGCTGCACAAATGGCGTCGGAGCCTAATGCGTTGATGAGCATCGGAGCCGGTCCCGAGCACAGCCGGAGTTCAGGTGTGAAGGTGGCTGGCCACAGGAGGGCGAGACAGCTCACGAGCGCGTCAGACTCGCGGTCTTCGCCCCAGACAGAGTCCGTTGTTGGCAAGGTCTTGCCTTGGCCATAACCTCTCGCTTACAAGGCCTGGCTGGTCGGAAATGCCCGCAAGAGCTCTCTTCGGCAGCTCAGCTTGGGCCGTGCCATGGCGCTGGTGAACCTTTTGCTTAGCAGTCAGAAGCTCAAACCTCGACTTTGTGAATTTCCACACCTGACATTTGTACCTCAAGGCCACAGCGTTCTTGGAAAACGTCAAGGTCGCTTGGTTCCATACCACATGTCGGAGGCTGGCCGCAGATCGTTCGGGCAACGTTGAAGTTGGACCGAAGAGCCAGGATTTTGAGAAGCAGGAAAATTCCAGATGCAATCTGCCGACGAGTCTTCGTGAGGGTGAAGTGGCTTGTCGAAACAGCTCAACGTTCTGCGTTTGTAGACATGCACGTCGTTTTACAGCTCGCGACTGCGCATCCAACCGAGGTTTGTTTTCGATTATGGGAGGATCTCATCTCACATTTGTGGATCCTTCTGGCTGAAAATGGTGGGGAGATGATGCCGGGAGCCAAGCATGCTCTGCTTCGGCATGCGATGGGTGTCGGTGTCCACTGCCAGCACGTCCAGATTCCAGATGGCACAGAGGTCAGCTCGTCTCAAGGTGGAGATGCGATCTCGCTTTCAGCATGAGCTAAGCGAAACTGCACTTGGTCATGTCAGTTCTCGCCTTACTGCCGGCAAGTGTTGATTCAAGGCAAGAGAGACCAGTCCGCCTCTCCTGGCTGACCTTAGGCCTCGGATCCTTGCTGGATGATGAGCGCTTGGCCGAGCACTTCAGCGTGACAAAGCGCCCTCCAGCAGCCAGATGCTTACCTGTTTTCTGGATATATTCTGGGAGACCAAGAGTGGGTCAGAAGAGCAGCAAGGCAGACGTGATTTGTCTCCGCTCAAAATCTCGGCCGCAGGCCACAAGTCAAGCAAAACCAATGATGTGTCATGTAGCAGCGTAGCAGGGATGTGACTTCTTTCAGCTGTCTCTGCGCAGTTCGACCTCAAAGAGCCTGTCGATGTTGAGAACGCACGTGCTGGACTTGGAACCGACACTGAAAGAGCAGGGTTTTTCTCAGAGGTGTCCGGTATGTGTAAAAGGTCGCAACCTCTTGGCAGTCCTTCGCAACTCTGAAGACAGGCACGGGTTTGAACCCACTGCGCATCATGATGTGACGGCCTGGCTTGGCTGTAGAGCATGAAGTGCAGCACGTGCCCCCGTCAGACTAAAGCTGTTGCCGAAGTGATGCGAGATGTACTCTAGTTCGAGGACGCCAGACGACAAAGTCGCCGTGGACCGGTCGCAAAGTTGGGAGCAGGACCTTGGGTGGACTGGAGTTAGGTTGTCTTCTGCAGACAGGCACGTGCAGCAGCTTCGAGCACAGGATGGGCTGCTGCTTTCCAGCATGTCTCCTTGGAGCATCGTGAGTTGGAAGCCCAGCTCGATGAGTTTTGGGCGCTTTTCGGAATTCGGCATATCAGCCCACAAGAAAACCCTCGCACGCATGTCTATATGGACACCAGTCTCCACAGCATGTCACCATGTGGTCCAGGCAGCGCCTTCCTCGACAGATTGGACAAGGACCAGATACACACCAGGTTCTGCGATCTGCGCATGGAAACGGGTCAGCGCCACTTCAACTGCCGTTCTTCTGTATTTTCAGTAGACTTCTGCGCATGAAAGTGTTTCGGCGTGGCACGACTGCATCGCACAGACAAGGAGATGCCTAGCTGGTCTTCACCAAAGATTGCCACCGTGCCGCATAGACCCTAGATCGCAGAACAACGCTGCAGCATCTCCATGCCGCAGCTGTGAAGCGCATCATCAGGCCAAGGGAGCAGCCCATCTACGCCGAAGAGGAGGTCTCGCAGAGACATGCCATGCTGCATTGCATCTGCTCTGAACGACGAATAATGGAACAGCCCTGCAATTTGCAAATCCAGCTTCATGGATGCAAATGTATGAATTTGTGGTGTCGCTTTTGAGATGACAGGTGTGAGTGAGAATGCAACAGCCACAGGAGTGCAGATCCACGTAGGATTGTGTTTTCATGTGTTTGCATTGCACGTACCGGGTCGGCGCAATGTCCAATGTACCCTCATCTGCTTGGCAGAATCTGCTCTGTAATTTCAAACTTTCCTGGATTCCTTAGTCGTCGACTCGATGTGTCTTAAGATTTCTGCTGGCCAACTTCTTGGTGAAGCCAGATAGCAGACGGAATTGAAGTTCCAGACTCCTCATTTTTCAAGTTCAGTGTGGCAAGACGGGAGTGGCGGTCGGCTGCAACAGGTTCACAAGTTTACAACATACGCTCTAGTCTTTTCATCTGCTGGTGCATGGCATTGGGCATTGGGCAAGCGGTCGCACCATCACTGTACACTGTAGAGTGGAGAAGAGCGAAGGCATCACAGTTTGAGATGTGGCCACTCGGCAGGCGCATGAGACAGCAGACAAAAGTTGAGAGTAGACAGAGTCTCTGTGGTTGATGGTAAACTCGCCGCGATCGATTGATATGTTCATGCGCAGCTTCTGCATAAGACCCATACGACCCACAAGAAGCGAGAACAACTGCCAAGCCGCGTCCGGGCCATGTTCAGGACGAGTGCAACAGAGGCACAGCAGCAGCATGCAGCAGCCCAGCGTCAAGAGATCCACCGCTCAGAAATGCTTGGACCATGGCTTCGAACATAGATAGTGATAGTGACGCCATGCACCTTGCCATGGAATGCGGGCAGTGATGCGCCTCCATGAAAAGCACGGGCTTGGATTGGTCCGTAGGGGCAGCCTACTTGCTGGGAGATGAAACTCATGAGCTGACGAGAAGATTCTTTGAAGCATTGCTTGTCGCAAATGTGCGTTGTAATCATTGCATTTTCCGGCGACAGTCGCGGCTTGGACCCACTAGGCGTCAGAGTTGCCGGCACCGACGTTGCTTACCAGAGGCTTCAAGTGGACCAGGACAGCTGGGGGAACCTTGATGCAAGAGTCGTTCAGACGGGCTTTTCCGCTGGGAGTTTGTCCAAACCAGGCCGCACAGAAGCTACTGCAGCAGATCCAGCAGAGTCCTCTGTGTTGTTTTGTTTGTACTGGCTGATGGCAAATCCATGTTTGCAGGAGGGCGTCTGCCTGAACAAGCTCGAGCGGACAGATTCTGCGGATGAAGGACCGCAGCATTGCCTTTGCAAAGCTTAAAGTGTAAAGAACGGAAAATGAAACTGCTTGCAATGTCGTCCATTCCTCGAGGAGGCACAGCAGTGTGCGATTCCCTTTGGGGCTGTTTTGAAGCGTCATGGAAGGCACCATGCCATGGTCGTGTGTTGCCGTGCAATCCGGGGACGTAGCCGCTAAGTTTGACCCAATGTTGAGGCCGTGCTTACCGCATTGGTTGCCCTGGCGGCTGCCATTGGTATGCAGACGATTCTGCCTTCGGTTCACGTTTCACGGTGCGTGTAGTGAATATGCACGTAGTGTCCTGTAGATGCCGCAACGTAAGGTTATCGTGCTGCAACCCCGTGTTCTCCAGGTACCTTGTCATGGAGACGACGGTGGTGGATTATCCGGCTGCCTTCGAAGTTAAATCGGAGTATCGGCCAGAATGCGACACCAGGCGAGTGACAGCGGTTTCGGAAACCCACAGACCAACTGATTGAGGAAAGGAGATAGGTGCAAAATTCACAAGGCAGGCAAGAACTCTACTCTCGGGCAGCTCCCACTCCCTGTGATGGTTTACCGCTCCGAATTAGCCAACCGTGTCAGGGTCATTCACGGTTTGCGAGCATGAAATCTCCGCTGGGGTTTGCGGCGTCCCTACTCCCGCCAGGGCCCACTCTCTCGCTCCTGTTCCTTAAGGTTGAGGGTTTACCGGGGAAGTCATTCGCGAGTCAGGTTTCTGACCTTCAATTCGATTGAGGATTCTCTCAGGCAAGGTTTAATTCACTCTTAGGCCCGTGCAGTTACGAAGGTGCAGGAGTTGCTGATCCCCAAGCCTGTCGTTGGGTTCAGGGGTTTAGGACTCCAGCTCCGTTTTGAGGTTTGGGTTTGGCACCTGGCCCCATGACCATGCTGCTGTTAGGGATTGCCACTCCTCGCTTACACAAAAGGAGTGGGATTTGCTTAACCCGATATGACGATATGCTCTCCTGGCCTAGGATGTTCTTCCTTCGTAGTTGATTGACAGGCCGTTGTCCAAGCTAAGAGGCGGCCTCAGTTAGAACAGAATCTAATTTCGAGGTTCTGTCCCTTGCTTGATGCTTCGGAGCTCACGCTTTGCAGCCTGATCGGCGAGCTCATTCAACATTCCGGAGACACTGAAAACCCACGTCTTAACACAGTTTTCTCTGGACATCAGGCTCACACACTTTCCGACACCTAGGCTATCTTGCTCCCTCGTCTGCTAAATCTTCAAAGATCTTCCAGATCCTTCGGTCGTCAGAGGTCGTCATCGTTCCAGATTGGGAATCGGGACTTCCTGGAGAAATTGCAGGTGCCATGGACTCCTTTCGATGCTGGCCATTAGTGTTTGCTGCCTGTGGACTGCAGGACTTTAGTTTCGTGTTTTTCTCCATGGCGAGCATCGCATCCAAGCGGCACTGAGCCACAAGTAAGACCAGACTTACTGTATAGCACCCTCGCTCCAGGTCAACATGCTTACCGAAGTTATTAAAACGGCCTCGGCCGTGCTGATGCCACCTGTGAAACCTATACCAGGCTGGTATGCAGATTGCCTAAAACCACGCTCATTCCCAGAATTTGGCCCCGCAGATGCGGATCAGTTCATCCCGGACACCAGTCAGCCGGGCAACGTGGCTCTCCGACGATGTCCTTCAAATCGCTTTGTGACGCAACTTGTTGCGATTATCTGGCATTTACTTCTGTCCAAGTATGCCATCAGCCAGCACACGCAGCGTCCAGAATTGAAAAGTTTGAGATGAAGGCAGTGACTCCACATGTCTGCCAGATTCAGGTTGGGAAGCTTGGTTCCATCTCCGCAGTATCTTTGGCGCTCCGGGCCCGATGCCATGGAATTCACACAAGCAGCACAGCGTCTCGATGTGCAAAATTTAGCATCTATCTTTGACGTGTTCTTGGCAGGCCTTCACAGTCTCTGTTCCTGCAGGTTTTCGCTAAACTTAAGCAGCTTCGCCAGTAGGCCGCTACTGCCACCAACTGAAAATCCGGTACAAATCTCTGTCTGCTACAAGTGCTTAGTGTAAGGTGACGCCTCGGGGCATAGCATGTAGGTGTTGGTGTTACGCCACATGATGCACCAATCTGTGCTGCGAGGGAACTGATCGCCTTCGTGCAGGGCGGACTGCTGGAGGGTCAACGATCGGAAGGGCACGAAGCCAAGAGGAATCCAGGGACCCATCAGTTGACGTGGTCGTTGCAGTATGCACAAAGTCACTCATTCCTCGGATGAAGGTCAGAATTTTCTCCTGCTGATTCTGTCAATGTTCTCATGGAGGCACGGCAGATGTGCGACTAAGTTAGATTGGCGATGCTTGGCCATACGGATTCAGGACTGATGCATGCATGGTGCAGACTCCTCGGACATAGCCTTTGCGGCTTCGTTTTCTTGTTGAGGCTCCTCACAGTATCAAGCTCGGCGGTATGATTGGCTTTTTCCCATGGTCTATGCAAACTGCATGTCGCAGCCTTGGACGAGGGAGCCGACACTCGATCACACCAGAGTTGTCAACTGAGCAAGCCTTACTAGTAGGTAAACACATACCTCAGGTTACCTCTTCCCCATTCAGCTCATCAGCTTGTTGTATGTGACTTGCATGCACCAGCAGAAGCATGATTGGCTTTGGCACGGTTCCTACACACACCACCATTGCCTGCGCCATAAGGACTTGATTGCAGACTCCTTGCTCCGGAACCCTGATTACCTCCTTATTGTCACAGAAACTTGCCTCGGATTTGGTGCAGACGTCTGTGAGTGGTGCAGAGTGTCCGGGTGCTCTGCTGCTCTGCTGCGCGACGTGTTTCGGTTTCATGGCCTGAGGACAAGGACAAATGGTGGGCTAGGGCCACAGAGTTTGGATTTGGAGATTGGGGCCGGGGAACCCTGAGCTGAATGCGTGTTCAACATGAGGTTTGGTTTCAGCTCTCTTTTCGTCACGAGATGCTTTTGCCGATGCTACTGCAGGCCGGAGTTCACTCGTCGGAAGCTGTGCAGAGGGGTAGACTGGTCCATGCTGCGACAGGTGCTTCGCATTCACATCAGCGTAGACAACCTACGTGCCTTCTTTCGGGGAATGCAAGGAGCCTCTGCAGGCAACCATTGCTTGGGTATGGTATCAGCTGGGTAGAATTGCAGAGTGGTACCGACTCTAGGTACCAGTTTGCTGCCTGAGTCAATTAGCACTTCGTAGCAGATCTAAATGGTACAGTATCCGAGAGGCAGAGTCATCTTGCCCGGAACTGAGCTGATCCAAGAACGGGGAGCATCGCAACAGCTCCTGCTTTTCTCTGTTTGTGCTGATCCTTGCCTGTCGTTCCCTTGAGTTCGATATGGGATGGCGAAGCCGAGGTCCGTTGCATGCTGCGTCGCTGGGACAGCAGTTTGTCATGACCGCACCGACCCATAAGGGTGCACATTCTTTTGATGCTCTGCATCTTGCCAGAGACGTTGCAAGTCTTCCCCCGATAGCCTGAACCCTAAACTGGCCTGTCGAAGGTCGCGTTGCTGCCAAAGCTATTGATTTTCCTGCCAGCATTATTGGTCACCTTCCTCATAGGGCTTCCTCCTACGTGGCTTGGCCTATGTAGCTGCAGATTTCGGGTGCGACGTGTCTGCATGTTTGCATCTTGCAGCCACATGCACCAAGAAATCATGAATAGACAAGGTGGGCAGCATGCACGCTGCTCGAGCGCACAACTGGTCGGTCATACTGGCACGAAAAGGCAGGCTAGCATCGTTTAAAACACGCTCTCGAGCCGGGACAGCATGTGCACACCAGCCACGTCCCGCTTTCCGCAAGGAGGGCCCTCACGTTGGTGTGCTGTACTGCTTCGTTCTCCCAGCGGCTGCTTTGGTGTTGCTTGACAGCATAGCTGAAGAAACTGTTTCGAGTATCTCAGCAGCCGAACTGGGAAGGATGCGATCGGATGCCTCTCATACCTTATATCTGCAGCCAAGGAACAGAATATTCTATCAGTTTTCGGCAGGGTGCGAGGCTCAGCTTGGCGGAAGGTACCTTTTCTGTAAGGAAGCTTGAGCTGTCGTTCAGCTCGTGTGAATTTAAAATCGGGTGCTGCTGGCTATGGAGGTAAAGCTTTTCTGGCTTTTCACACTTTTCACAGACAAACTACCAATTCTTGTGCTGGGGTCATTTCATCTACCACGGGATGCTCGCGGGCAAACTGTTATTCATCGTTTTCATGGCCGATGATCCGGCTTATTTTTGTTGCTTAGGTTGGGGTTACCTGCAACGCAGCCACAGTTTGCAAGAGCTACTGTATTCACAGATACAAGAGCTACCCGACCAGAGCAAGCGGCCTTTAGCAGCTGAACATAGCCTCTGCCGGCGAGCACTGAGGACCTACCTATGCACTCACAGTCGAGCCAGCTTGATTCCGCTCCAGCAGGGGCATCTCACAATGGATGCGCCACTTCTTTGCTTCGTGATCTCGATGTTTTTCTGCAGCCTTGCTGTGTTGGTTCTGATCTCGGTTTGCAGAGCATCACGCAACGTCCCAGCGATATCATTCCATGATTTCCATGTCCTTGATCCAGGTTCCTCTTCGCTTCCTTCTTGCTTTCTTTCCCGAGACGTGCGGCAGGTTCGCTAGTTTTGGCTGCGGATGTATTCCGTTGCGAAGTCTGCATCTGCAGTATGTGCTGCTTCTGCGACCTGTCTCCTTGACACAGGGGCGTGTTCGCCTTCCTGAGCCCTGCTGGATTCTACATTCGCTGGCTGGAGAACCCCTTGTACGACACCAGAAGCCTGCGGCTGGATCGGGAAGGTTACGAGGACCTAGAGAGCGAGGGCCACGAGAGACAGTTTGGGACCTATCCGAAATAAAGACGTCGCCGACAATACTGGGAAGGAGCACCGAAGGCATTTCTTCAAGGAGGGTACGCAGGACTGGTGCAGGCTTGTTGTGTTCCTTCCGCACCAAACTGGAAATGTCACTCATTTCTGGATGCGATGGGCAGGTATTGCGAACACCTGATAAAGGGCGAGACGCAGGTTGAGCTCCCGCAAACTCCAGCACAGGCGATGCCTTTCCTTGCTTCGGTCGGCTGTGCTGGCGGCGGTGGGACCTTTCGAGAAATCCAGTGGGGAAGGCTTGTCTTGGTTCTGAAATTCTAGCCAACCAGCGAAAGGCTTTCATGTACGACGGCCTGCAGCAGTGTTGGGAGCTTCCATGCCTGCACGAGTCTTACAACGGCCTGCATCCATATTCGAGCGACATCGCACGTGAGGCAACAGCCAGTTGAAAGATGTCACAGACTGTGCAAGCGATGTCTCAGGCTCCACTATCTGTTCAGCGCACAGCGTGGGGCTGTGAGCGCTATGGAGCTGCTCGGGGTCATAGAGACTCTGAGGCGTGGACCCGCCACTGCTCTGTATGGTTTCGGCATGTCCTGGCGTGAGGGGTGTTGCTGGGCATGCGGGATTATGGTACTGCTTTGTGGGTTTCAGACGATACAACTTCTTGGTTCCCGTAGCGGCTGGACACCCATCATGAGAACTCCTAATATGGTGGCCTGTTCAGCACGGTAGCTTCGTGTTTGCGGTGTGGGATCGCAGGTCACGGCAGTCGTCTGTTCGTCGGCTTCGGTCCAAGCTGGACTTAGCATACGACTTTGCGGTTGGCCTCCAAAAGGCACGTACTGTTCCGTGTTGCCCCTGCTGTGTGTGACCTACACACAGTTAGCTCATGTCTCAACACCCATGACCGTCGCGAGGCGGAGCAGCATCGCAGGCGGGGCAGAAAGCTCTCCAGCACCCAGCACGACAATCGGGGGAAGATCTTGGAAAGCGTGGGCGATTGTGTGGGAATTGCTATGTGGCCAAGTAGGTTCCAAGGAGACATTCTTTGTGCGGGGTCTCGCAGGGTTGAAGATTGGCTGCAGGTCGTACCTGGAAGCAGAAGAGCACATCAGAGTGATTGATGGCGAATTTGGGCCCAGCACCAAAAAGGCCTGGTTCTGCTGAGTTTGTAAGTTGATGTAAGTTGTACTTGAATTTTGCCAGAAATTCAACATGGTCGGAGATCTATGCCATGTGTAGAGTTTGGCAGGCTTGGGTGCACATGTATCATCTGCGATCGATATCATGCCCTTTTGGTTCAAGCCTTGGCAGTTGAGCCAAAAAGGCAGGTTTTTGTTGCCATATTTTGCGGAGGTGTCCCGCCTATTATGGCATATGCATTTGACCCGGAGTCTCCTGAGGTCTTTGCCTATGTGTTCAGCCGCTTTGCTGTGCACACTGAGGCCCAGGTGTTGCATCCTGCGGCCATGTTGGACCTCACGGCTCAGCTTCGGCATTTGGTTTCCGAGGGTCGGGACTGGGATGCTGCACGCCTTTGGGCTTCTTTTTTTGAGGTACAACACTACCCTCCCCCTCCGCCTCTGCTCGATGGGTTGCCTGCAGGTATGCCGCCTATCCGCACGGTTCCGTGTGTCGCCACGGACTGTGTCCGGTGCGCCCAGAGCCGGGGAGGGTTCCAGCTGCCTTTCGTGGGTACATTCACACATGCAGCAGCTATTGTCCGTCCAGGGAGTGACCCGGCTCAAGCGTGGAGTGACTACCATGCATGCCGCTCCTATTTGTCGGCGGGCGACATTACGGCCCTTCATTCTGGGCTTTGGCCGACGGACTTGTTGCCGAACCACCTCCACGCGCTCTTCTCCCGAGTGGCCGCACAGGCACACCCTCGAGCAGCCAGCTCGGACGAGCTTTGGATTATTTTCCGCTGGTGGCAGGCAGGGAGCCGAGCTTGGATCGAGCCTGGTGGGGAGGTCCCGTCTTGGGCAGTTGGCCGGGAGGATGCCCGAGCCCGGGCTCACCCCACACTGTGGTTGTGGCTGGGGGCCGTGGCTTATGGACCGGGCCTTTTGCCTGCGGCCTGTCACAGCTGCGGGTTGCCTGGGACGTTGCATTCGGTGCACGTGATGATGTGCAGTCCTGGAAGGGGTGTCCCCTTTATTATGGCTGGCCTGGGCCGGCGGCCGCGGAGACGACCGCAGGCAACTTATTATACCGGGGTGGCGACCCCCGAGGCTCTCGAGGAAGAGCTATATTCAGGAGTGGCCCTCCTGCTCTGCTTCTGCTGTTGCCCGGCCCTCGAAATCTTCTTCTACGGCTGCCTCTCGGCTCAGGCCTTTGCTAGCAGCTGCGATGGCCGGCGTGTACGCGCAGCAGTCGCTGGAGGCGGCAGGAGATGGCGACAATCATCCTGGTCCGTCGTCCGGCCTCTTCGGGGAGGGCACCCCGGTAGAGGTCCGAGTCGACGCCTGGCCCCGTGCCTTCGGCTTGGTCGAGGACGAGGAGTTCGCATATGTCTTCATGTCGGCAGAAGAGGCGCAAAGACAGGCCGGAGCGGAGATCGCGGCTGCCTGGCGCGAAGTGCGCGAGCGTGTGGATGAAGGCAAAGCTTTGGCCTTTGCACATGAGGCGGCCCAGGCTGGTGCTACAGCGGCCAGACCCTCTATGAAGCCCCGCCGCTGCGGAACGTGCCGCCTGGGAGACACCATTGGTCGAGGAACTCGCCGACCTTTGGGTAGATGCCAAGGTGCAGCGCCCGAGCGGCGAGCTCAATGCGGGGCGCCAGGCTGAGTGGGAAAGCTTTGTTCGGCGCCGGGCTGCGAAGGTTTGCAGCGAAGCGGAAGTGGCCACGATCAAGAAGGCCGTGGTCTCCCTCCGCGAGCTCCAGCACTTCCAGGTCGCTCGGGGTCGCGATGGGCTGGAGGAAGTCGACAGCCTCGACCTGGATGCCTTTATTCACAACTCTGCCGCGCCTCACCGTGCCGTGGCTGGCTTACGATGGGCTGCCAAGCAGGCGGAGCTCGCCTGGAGGATCCCGGACGCGCCCCGGACCGAGCAGCGCCGGAAGCCCAAAGACGAGAGGCAGGCCACACTTCTCGAGCCGCCCATGCTGGTACACCTGGAGAAGGTTATTGAGGAGCGGTGCCTTCTGGGAGACCCTCGGTGGACCGCGATGCTGGGGCAATGGATGCAGGCTTCCAGCTGCATGCGGTGTGCCCACCTCCGCCGGAGCGAGGTCCTTCGCATCACGGGGTCGACCGTGCATGCCTTTTGCAACAAGGGGAAGCAGCGCCGTCTGCGACAGGGTTTCTATTTTGCCATCCCAGCCTCCTTCGCCTCGGGGTGGAACTGGACCGAGCCCTGGAAGACAGCCTTCGAGGCCCTGCCCAAAGGCAGGCGGAGCCAGTGCGGGCTTTGCTTTGACAATCGGGGCTTCCCGTGATGCTAGGCAAGCTCTCACCGGGCGAGTCGAACGCCCTGGGCGATTGGCAGGACTGCGTCTCGGATCAGCGGAGCGCCATGCCAGTCCACTACAGTGGCTTGCGCTACAAGGAGAGCGTCCGAGTAAAACACCATGGTGTGGGCTTATATGGGGGAGTTGCGCCTCTACCCTTCTTGGGACGCGGTGACACCGCAGGACGTCGCGGAGCACACCACGCTGGCCCAGTCCCTTTGCGAGTCAGAGGTGAGGGCCGACAAGGAGGTACTCTGGCAGGGGCCCGCCTTCTCAGCTCACAAGCCCAAGAAGTTCACCATGAGGTTGGCGGCCGGCCCGGTCTTGCCACTGGCGAAGTTGCGGTCCCGAAGGAGGGCGGAGCCGAAGGCCGCGGCGAGCAGCTCAGCCCGTCCGAGTTCGGTGGTCGGAAGTTCCAGCGCCGGGCTCTCCTATGCCGCCATACATCGGTCGGCACAAGACCTCGCAGGCCCTCAATCTTGGGCGCTGTCGGCCCAGATTGCAGGTGTGCTTCCACCAAGCTCTCGACAGACAGGGTCTGCGGTGGGAAACACCCTGCGATCGAATGCCGCTCCAAAAAGTATGGCCTGAGACGCCAGCGGACCGGGGAGATCCCAGAAGGAGGGTCGCAACAGTCGGCTTCAGCACGCCGGACCAGCACGGCCGCTGCTGCAAGCTCAGAGGGCCGTGGTTCAGGCAGCTCTTCTTCTGTGCCGCCTCCACCCAAAGCGATGCCCAAGACCTTGAGGACGAGGCCTGACCCTACGGAGACAAAGAACCAGGCGGCTTTCGACACGTGGGCTGGTCGGCGCCCAGTCCAGCGGCCGAGCTGCATCTGGGAATCCCCGGCGGGGGGGAAGCTTTTCCTTTCCGGGCTGCCGTTGGGAGAGACCCGCGGGCAGTTCGCGACGATCCACCTCCAGGTCACATGTATGGACCAGACTCCGGAACGCAGGGGGGGAATATCCCTCTGCAGCCGCAACCTCCTCTTCAACGTGTCGGCCAAGCGTTCCAGGGAGGAGGACTGGCTCCGCATATTCGGTGAAGCTGCTCGAACGTTGTTGGCTGGCCACAACGTTTTGATTCACTGTATGGCGGGGCGTCACCGCGCTGCGACTACCGGCGTGGCATGCCGAGCGGTGCTTGCGGGAGAAACCCAGGATGAGGCGACCCAGGCGATCCTGAGGGTTCGGGAGATCGAGGTGGGCCGCGCTATTCAGCAAGACCGCAGCCTGGGTGTGTGGTTGGCGGGGGCCGTGCGTAACACACTTCCCTCCAACACCGGTGCAACCACGGGGATATATCGCCACCGAGACCTCGCACCTCCACCTCGAGTCTCCGGAGGAAGGCGTCCCCATCTGCAAGCACAAGCAGGGTATCGAGAGGCGCCGGTTGACCAACCCGCAGCGCACGACTAGAAAGCTAGAGGCCATCGGATGGGAGCGACCCATCTGTGAGGGCTGCTTTTCTCGGGCATCCTCCAGGTATTTTCCGGCATAGGCACCTCGACGAAGCGAGGATTTTGCCGTTAGGTGTCGGTAATTCGAAGTCGACCAGTTCGCCACCAGCAAATCTTATTTTGCGGGTGCCGCATAAGAGCCCGTGTGCCCGCCGTGGCTGGTACCGTATCTTGGCATGAGAAGCGAGAAAAAGAGGGTGCGCGGGCAGCCGAGTGTAGGAGCAGTGACTGTGGTGATGCAGTCCCAACTGAGTTTCACCGTCTTGCTTTCTGCTGCTCTCTCTTCTCTCCTCTCTCCCTCTTCTCTTGGTCTGTCAGTCGGTCCTCGCCTTGCTCGAAGGTACCGCAACCTCGGAGCTGACCGAGGGGTTCGCGGAGATTGGCAATAGGCGGGGAGTTTGACCCTTGACCGTGGGCTTGTTCGAGGGGTCGACCTCGACGTAGGTTCCATGTCGTCAGTTTCGCTTGTCCCTCGAGTGGAGCAGGACATAAAGGCGAGTTTGGACAGCCTGCAAATGAATTTCGGTTTGGACGCCAAGGTTGTCACAGAAGTGCTCGGCACTGGGATCGGCCATCTCGAGGAGCTTCGCTTCTTGTTCGAGAACGAGGCAGCTGTGGGCACCTGGGTGGGGAAGTTGGGCCTGGGGGATGCGACTATGTTGCAGACCGCCCGCCTTCGAAGGGCGTGGAAGGCGACGTGCACATACTATGCCCAGGCGGAGCAAGACCGCTCTAAGGTTGCTTTGGCTGACCTCGACTCGATGTTGGCAGACTCCGAACTTCGTTCTTTGAAGGAGGCTTTTTGGATCCGTTACAAGTTGCGCTTCCCTGCGGAAGTGCAACCCTCCGACGCCACAGTGTCCCGCATTTCCCGGGAACTGACCAAAAGGATGCTTTGTATTTATGATGTGTGGCGAGTGCGATCCCTACAATTTCAATTGGGCACCTCGCAGAAACGGCGCAAGCTGGCAGATGGCCTCTACACCGACGAGCCCGAGGTCGACGAGGTCGTCGCCAGGGATGTTGATATGTACTTGCACAAGCTCCATACGCTAATGATCGCCTATACGCACTCAACGGGGTACAGGCGATCGCGGGAGCCGACCCGGCGGGGGAAAAAGCGCTGGGTGCCAACACTTGCCGTTTCGTCGAAGTTCCGCTGGATTGCGTGCTGGCGTACTACTACAGAGCCCGTAAGGCCGCTATGCAGGTCCCGCCCGCGCAGCGGTTGGGCTGGCTCCCGCATCGGGATGCCGAAGAGCGAGCGGAGTGGGTCTCGCGGTTCCGGGAGGGACCCGGACACTCGGCGCAGTCATTAAAGAGCCAGCCGGTCGCCACTCATGAGCCCAACAAGGGGTCTTCCTTGTTTGTCGCGGGCCCTGTATAGTGGGAGGCAAGCCCACGGCCCGGGTCATGAAGGACGGCACGAAGCTGCGCGGTGACTTCCAGAAGGTCCTGCAAGCATTGGCCCATCGTTGTGCCGTGGTCCTCCGTGCCGAGAGGGTGTGCGGTGCGCCCAACCATGGTGCGGCAAAATGCAAGGCGAAGGCCAAGGCGAGGAGCTCGTGATGGGGCCCTGGCCCAGCAGTTGGGGGTGCTGAGCCTGGGGTCGCTGACGAAGGGGAGTTGACCCCCTGCATGGTGATGCTTCACCGTGACGACACAACTTTGGGCCGGGCTTTCCGGTGCTGTGGTTGGAGAGTCCTGGCCGCAGACCGTCTGACCGAAGAGCCCGACTGCATTTGGACGGGGTTGGCGCCGCCCACCGTATTTGCCGGGAAATTTTGAGCAGACGTTGCTGGGCTGTGCCTCGAGAGGGACCGCGGTCATCCAGGAGGGCGTTCCTCCTGGAGATGGCTCGACCAGCAGCCCTTCGGAGCTTTGGTACGATTCCTGTGTCTGCACAAGCACACCAGGCTCCTTCGGCACAACGTCGCCGACCAACAGTGCCTTGGGTCCGATGCCACCACCGCCACCTGCCTCAGGGGAGCGACCCTGGGAGGACGGGCTGCGCTGCTCCCACAGCCTGCTTTGCCTTTTCCGTGGCAGTCTCGCTGAGTTGGTGGGCAGCTAGGTGTGGCAGGGCGCGGCTCAGGGTCCACAGATGGCCATTGGTTGAACCGGTGGGTCGGCGCGAGCATTGGGCGGATGTCAACCCCTTGGCTCGGACGGACTGGGCAGTGGAGCCCATGGCTGTTTTCTTGGGCCTGCGACCACAGGATCCGGGTATGGATTGCCTGGTCCCTTTTGGGAGGGCCGTGGGCGAGTTGCACGACCGGGCATTGCCACTGGGTCGCGGGCACCATTCGCACAGGCTTCCGGTCACCAAATGGTGTTCCCCGTACACGCCGGGGGCATGACTGCACCCCTTCCGAGTGGATATCTCTTCGTTGAGCACATCATCGATCACTTCTGGACATCTCTGCCCGAGTGCGGGGAGTCACTTTGGTCTGTGACTGCCCCTTGGGATCTCTGTGTGAAAGAGACGTCTTGGCAGGCCTCGTGTGGTACCAGTTGGCATCGAGCCGGAGGGATGGTGTTGGCCGGGCCGGCCAGCTCCGGCATGGAGTGCCACGTGGGCAGCCTTTACCCAGTTACCGGCGTCCGTTGCTCAAGTCATCCCTTATTCCTCCCAGGAGTCAGTCGTCACGGCTTTTCGTAGCCTGTTTCCTTCCTTCGCCTTCCGCGGCTTTGTCTTTCCTTTCATTGAGGACCTGGTGAACAGTCCTCCTTTCACCCTTTTTCCCCAGTGGCTGAGGGAGCAAGGGCTTCGCTGGGATGGCGCGTTGGGCCCTTCTCTCTCTGACCCCGCCTGCAGGTTGATGCAGCGTACAGCGGAGGGCCAACAGGCAGGGGCGCTTTCAGGGAGGGCGGTACTTCCCCCCACTTCTCCCCTTTGGCCTGTCCCCGGACGAGCACTTCCGGCGTGCCCTGGCTAGGGGAGACGACCCCTTACCCACGGAATACCCTCCGGTCTTGGATCAGGACCTTCACTTCGCGGCAGCGATGACTGTCGAGTCTTTGGGCCGTCTTCGCGAGTTGAGGCGTGAGTGCGTCGGCCCGCTTCGGGAGTTGAAGCGTCGTTGGAGCCAAGTGGGGGACCACCTGCGCAAGCTCCAGACTCCGGCGGTCCGGAAGGTCACGGCCCAGCGGGACCTGGGCTTACTCAGTCTCTTCGTTGTTCTTCTGTCGTGGCCAGATACTACCCTTCCTTCACACCTTCTGTTCGGCATGCCGGCGGTCGGCACCTCTCTCCCGTGTGGAGTGTTTCCACAACAAAGCTTCGACGCTATCCCGCTCCACCGGCTTTTCGAGAATGTGGACTCCCACAACAAGGCTATCCAGGGCTCCATTCGGCCGGGGCCACACGATTACTTTTTGTTGGAACAATCTACTAAGGACTTCGAGGCGGGCTTCTGTTCGGTGCCCTTGTCCTGGTCGGAGCTTCTTCGCCACACCAAAGGCAAGCCCATTCGATTGATACCGAGGTGCGTGATTTCCCAGGCCTCCGGCAAGCAAAGAGTGATCGACAACGCAGACCATGGAGGGCAGAGCGAGCTCAGCTCTGACTCCAATAAGTTGGTGCTGTGTTCGGCCCTCCGCCCGGCCCAGCACGTCTCTCTGGCAATGCGGTGCGCCAGCCCGGCGGTCGCCCGCCGCCTACTGGAGGAAGACCAGTGGGAAGGTGGCGGCGAAGACTGGCCGGACGCCTATCGTCATTGCCCCATGGACGAGGACCAGTCCAGGGCCTGCGTGGTGGTGTGGTACCACAAGGAATGGGCCCAGCCGGCGTACAAAGTGTACTCAGGCCTCCTCTTTGGGCTCCCGCTGGCAGTGACCAGCTTTAACCGGCTCAGCAGGTTCTCAGAGAGAGGCGGTGGGCCGCCGTCTCGTCTGTGTCTTGGTCTCTATGTACTTCGATGATGCGCACCTTACAGACCCAGCGTCCGCTAAGGGGTCCGCACAGTTCGCCAGCTCTTGGGATCCCCTTTCGCAGAGGCCAAGCGTCAACCGATGAGTACAGTCGGAGACTTCCTCGGTTTGGAATGGGACTTCCGTGACGTTGGGGACTGACCACGTGGTGAAGTTCTGGGTCCGGGCCAGGCTCCAGGAGAAGGTTGAGGGCCTCTTGCTCCAGGCCGAGAAGGATCGCTGGTCAGGAGCATCCGAGCGCCCGCGAATAAGTGCCATAAGGGCCGCCACATTGTCAATGTACCAAGTGCCACGGCGGAAACGAAAGGTAGCAGCCCGGGCTGTGAGGGCAAAGAGGACCATTGAGAGCTCGAGTTGTGCAATTTTAATCTCGCCTGGAAGAAAGGCATCGTAGGTATGCCGGTCGATCTGCGCCACAAAGGCCTCACGGCCCGGTTCACTGCCCGGCCAGAGCAACAGGAAACCACCCGTGCCTTTGCGCGGTTCGTCCTCCGCAGCGTCACTGGCCGCGACGAAACGAGCGCAGGAGGAGGGAAGCACCTCCACTGCCCGACGCGGCCGCAGTGACAAAACGGCTCGGATGACCTCGAAAGACGAACGGATAGCTGGGGTCAACTCCCGAGCCGTCTCATACTGGCGTTCCTTGAGGGCGCCAGTACCCCCCGTGCCAAGACGTCCATACACCCCCTGTTCGAGAAAATTGAGCATGCCATACAGCTTCGAAGCTAAGCCGGGTGCGTCGGATCCTTGGGCTGCTTCTCACGGCTTCTGCCTTCACCACGCTCTTTTTTCGACCGAGGTGTGGTCTCTGCCTCTGGTGCCGGCCATGCTGGTGTTTCAGTTTCTGTAGAAGTGCTTTGGGACTAGTGCATTGGGATATCGAACCGTGTTGGTTCGAGGTGGGGCTTGCAACCCGGAGTGGACCCGGGTTTGCTAGCCTCACTCATCCGGATGTTCTACCAAAGCATTTCCCGCAGTTGCGGGTTCTACAGACTGAGACGGCACTAGCGATGCGAAAAGAGCTGTGTGAGCAGTAGCCTCTGTGATTCGATATGCGGATGTATGCCATGTGTAGAGTTTGGCAGGCTTGGGTGCACATGTATCATCTGCGATCGATATCATGCCCTTTTGGTTCAAGCCTTGGCAGTTGAGCCAAAAAGGCAGGTTTTTGTTGCCCGCCCTCCCTCCCTTATTCTGAGACGATCCCCCGTGGGGTTATCCTCTCTTTTATGGTGGGCAGCGAGAGTTTTCTCGACTGCATTCGGAGGGATATCGAACCGTGTTGGTTCGAGGTGGGGCTTGCAACCCGGAGTGGACCCGGGTTTGCTAGCCTCACTCATCCGGATGTTCTACCAAAGCATTTCCCGCAGTTGCGGGTTCTACAGACTGAGACGGCACTAGCGATGCGAAAAGAGCTGTGTGAGCAGTAGCCTCTGTGATTCGATATGCGGATGAGTCATTGTATTTTGTGGGCAGGCTTTGGTGGAATTCCTCATGCAGCAGGGAGAACTGAGTCGCAGCTTCAGTACACCAAACCACAAGGCTACCTGGGGCCAGGTGGCCTGGCAGCCCGGTCATAGATTCTGTGCATCTGCTGTGCTCCGCACTGCTGATGGGTGTGCCGACTTACATCTCGCAGGATGCATGCAAAGCGCTGCAGAGCTATCTCAAGCGGAAGCTGAGCTGCAACCCTTCGGCTTTGTCCAGCAGCTTTTACAGCTTTCCAACAAAGCCTTGTCATCGAAAACTGAAGGGAAGTGTAGCAAAAACTGGCAAGGTTCGGGGAGGCTTGAAGGGCATGGCTGGCTCCAGAAATGCCTAAGTTGACCTGCCGACCTCTGACTTAACCGTCTGGAATCTCACGGCAGGTGGTGTATGCACGGACATGCAACATGGTGAAAAGCTGAGGATCGGGTTCTACACAGGCAGGACAGAACAGGGCAGAACTGAATATGCATATGCGAAACCAGGGAACAGATGCCGTGGGCAGAGACACTGTGCAGGTCCACTGAATGGTCAGCTCGACGATGTTTGGACAGTCCGTGCATTGAGATCTTGGCTCCTGGACCTCGGCTTTATCTACAAGAGATGGCTTGTGGACAGGGATGGTGAACTGGGCAGGCCTTGCCGTGTGTATTGTGAGTTTGCCCTCCGCAGAGATTCGCTTCGAACAAAAGCCCCACAAGCTGAAGGTGGACGACAATCGCCTTGCAAAGATTCTTGATTTCCACACACGAGCGCGCTCATGGTAACAGGCCGTTCTGCTTCTTTTCCTTTCACGATTGCCTGCTGAAGCTTGCGGATGTAAGACAGCTTGGCAGGTACCTCGCGGTCAATGGTCAGTGGACGGTAGACTTTGTCTTCGCCTTTCAGGCATGGCGACACTGCAGTTACTAAACATGCGCACAGAGTCTTCAGTGAAAGCTTATCTTGATAAGGATTTTTTGGCTCGGAGCGGTGCCCCTCTCGAATGATTTCCTGCGGCCAGCACCGGTAATAGTCAGAGCTTCTACGGATCGCAAAGGTACTGCAAGCCCTCGAACGGGGACCTGGCGATTTGCAAACACCAAAGCCGTCCAGGAATTCTTGATCAGGCGCGTGCAAGCACCCGGAGTAAGCTGTAGCCACAGCTTCTGCTGGTCAAGGCGCGGCTACTTGATTGGGCAGAAACAGCTCAGTGACGACACCGACGAGATCTTCGATGAGCAGGCGCTGCAGATTCGAAGGATGTGCGGATGCCAGCTTGCTCGGTCCTGCTCGCCTCCAGGTATGTCGTGCGCTTCAATGTTGGCTCCGCGATCAAGGATTTCCGTGTGGCCTCAACGGAGAGAACGTGCCGACCTTGTTCTTTAGCTTCGCCCGGCCGCTTCCGCTGCATGGCAGTGTGAAACTTTGAGGCGGACGGCGTCGATGGAAAGTTCGACACTGGAACCAAGCTGGCATTGCAGCTGTTTCTCAAGTCAGATCGGGCCATGCTCGTTCACAAGGACGGACCTCTCTCTCCAGTTTGTTGCTGAGCATCTTTAGGGTCCCCATTCAGACCTTTGGGACACGACGTCATCGCGGCGCTGGGGTTTTGTCATCCGCAGCCGTAACTACCCTACTACCCTACTACTACTACTACTACTACTACTACTACCACCACCACAACCGCCACCGCCACTACCACTACGACGACGACTACTACTATCACCACTAAGCGCAGAATGCTAAGCGACACCAAACCCTCAACCGTAAAGAGCGCAAGCCTTGACCGACCCCTCACCCTATGCCCATCACAATCTGTAAATCGTAAACCTGAATGGACCTAAACCCTGAAGAAAGTCCAAACCCTAAACCTAACCCGTAAACAGTTCCGGAGTTGTGCTTTGGGTATCGGGATTGGGATGATTCAGGCTTACGGTTTGGCCGTGCTTCCGGTTTTCGATTGGTTTATGGCTTGTCGTTACTCAGGGCTTGAGGAATGGGGTTTCGGTTTGCGGTTTAGGGTCTTTTGTTGCTTAGGGTTTGTGGTGTGTCTTTCGTTTCTGGATTCGGCGAGGCGGGGGGGGGCGGGAGTTCGGGTTCTTTCCGGTGTGGGGCTGGGGATTGATTTCCAGGGTTTTTTTTTTTGGTTTTGTGTTGTGGGTTAGTTCAGTTTTTGTGTTACCAGGGTTACGGTTTGGGGGTTCACGGTTTGGAGGTGTTGTTGTTTTTTGTTTCTTGTTTCAATAACTTCTGTTAGTTAATGGGCTCAGGACCTGGTTTCCTCTACGAAGTTGGTTTAAGTTAAGGTTGTGGGCTTGGGGGTTCAGAGTTTGGGTTTGCATTGGGTCTGGGTCATTTTTGCGTTAGTCAGGAGCCCCTAGGGCCCTAGGGCGAGCCACAACTTCAAAGCCATATAAGCAGCTGGTAGCTTCTTGTGAAGCCTCAAGCCTGACAGCCTCTGACCTCCATCCACTCTGGAGCTTGAAGCCATGAAAATTCCGGGGGTCAGTATGGAGTGATCAAAACTGTGTCGCGCCCTTCTCTCGGGTTTTAGGTTGTTGAGGGTTGGTTTAGGGCTTGTAGTTGTTGAGGGTTTGAGGTTCTGGGGTGACATTTAGGTGTGGGGTTTGGGATTGCTCAGTGCATGGGGGTTTTAGGTTCAGGGTTTTGGTTTCTCAGGCACTGGGGTTAATTTAGGTTTAGGGTTCGGATGATTTAGGGTTTTGGGTTGTTTTGAGGTTCAAGGGTTCGGGGTTCGGCGGGGCTTCAGTTCTTTACGGTTTACAGCTTCGGGCTGTGAAGGCTTGGGCGGCTTGGGTTTGCTTTCCTTTCAGGCTTTGAGAGTTTCAGGTTTTAGCCAGCTCCGTAGCCGTACACCCTAAGCAGCAAGGCCGAAATCCTAGAAAACCCGAAACCATGAGCCCCAAACAACTCTTTGACTGGTGAGGGTCGCAGGGGGCTGGCAACAAGCCTACTACAACATGTGGATTGCGACCAAGTGCTACAAAAAAAGAACCCCAGACAGCCCAGTACAGCCAAATCGACTTGCCTCTTCCACACTACGTTGTATTCCGACTGAGGAGATAAACAGTAATCCACAATGCTGCTCAACCAATCACCTTGGTGCCAGTTGCTCATGTCCAACCACGCAGGACCTCATCACCAACGGCAAATGGAGAGCCGAGACAATCCGCCGGTTGCAGGAGATGCAGTAGGATGCAACCGTTCACTGTTCGCTACCTTGCAAGTCATGTCAGTTGTGTTTGCAGCGACAGGACTTCCTGTCCGAGGACAACTCAAATCTAGAGGTGAATGGTCTTTGGGACCTCGCCTCCGGACAGGCCTTGCAAGCCTTCCTCAAGAGCCAGGCCCATTCCGGTGGATTCAGTTTGCCGGAGCTATATTCTTGATTTTTGAATCAGGGGCGATATGTCAGCTTCGTGGATGGTGACTTCGGCGGCGTGTCTGTGCAGTCGCTACAGGACTTGCGCGTCATGTTGGGAAATTGCATTGCGCTTGACCACTGCACGGTACAAGAACCTTTTTGCCAGGCCTGGCTACGAGATGAGGCTGGTGCATGCTAACTACAATGCACCTGCGACGCTCCTGTTCATGTTGAGCTCTATGACACATTGCGTTTGGTGCTTGGTACAGTTGCAAGCCTCGGCATTGAACACAAGCCCCTTTCAGGGGTTCAGCTGTGGCAATGATGGTCCTCGGTGCGATGGAGTGTCCGGAAACTGGACGAAGGAGAGATCTCACCCCCAGCTTGGATACCATTCCGAACTTCCAACTTTTGCTTCCTGCCAGAGCTGATGCTGCAGGACACAACAGCAGCTTTGCAGAGGTTTCTAAACTCCAGGACAGACAGCCGCGGCTTGGAAGTGAAGCGAAGCCCTCGTTTTCGAATGTCTTGAAAGTGAACCGCTGCCTGTGGTGCTTTGAGAAGCCTGGTTTAAATCCGATCGTCTGTGCTCAGTGCTCGACATGCATCTGCTGTTGCAGGAAAGCATCGGCTGGCGTGGATGCCCCTGCCATTTGGTCCGACGAGTACGCAGACCTCAAGGCCAGACTTGCAAACGCACGCAGAGAAACGAAAATCACAGACTGCTAGGCCTCATGCTGGGCCATGGCTCTGTTCGGTGGTGCTGAGAGCTACATGGAAGAGGACCTTGAGACATGCAACAAAGCATCTGCACGATTGGTCTGACAGGTGCTGTTCTTAGCAGCTAGCTACAGCTAGCCTTAGTGCTCAATAACTTTCCAGATCCGTCGCGGTTCTCACAAAGCTGCGACAGGTTCGACTTAAAGACAGGAATGGTGTCGGTGAGTATTGCGAGGCACCTGATGACATCGCTGGGTACGTGGAGCCAACTGCTTCGCAGTATCATAAAAACGTGGCAGTTATCGAAACCGGCACGAGGAACAGAGGAAGACATAAAGAGCATAGGGATATACTTGCTGGTTGGGATAGGCGGTACAGAGCTGCCCGACGGAGCGATCGCTGACTATTTCTGCTCCATTGCTTGATGATGGGGGACACCTGCTGCTATCTGCCTGAATCTGGCTGTTGGTCTTGCTACGTTGTGCTGATCCATTAGTGAGGACGCTCTGGAATTGCTGCCGCCGGCCGACGTCGAGAAAGGCCGCAAAGCCGCGGAGGCACCAACGAAACGACAGAAATCTGGGAACTGTGGTGAACACTTTCGATTGTCAGGCACGGCAGCTCTTGCGCGACTCCGGCCTGTCTGTTCCATTTGGCGAGTGGCCGGCGTCCAAGACAGCTCGCAGGAAGGGGGCCCCAAACTCCGGACCCTGCACTTCGCTAGAAGGTGGGGTGCTGCACAGCTGTTGTCCAACCTGGGCAGCGGGACTTGGCTTGATGCAGCTGGCAGCGAAGCAGCAGTCGCCGCTGTGTGCCTTGTCGAACAGCATCAGAAAACAGAAGGAAAGGGTGCAGGCTCCTCCTGGTTAGCCTCCTAAGGATAGCATTGCAGAGCCTCGAGAGTGCTGATGAGGTTGGGGCTTGAGCTTGTCGCGGCCTTTGAGGACTGAGATCAAGCCTGTTGTCTTGCAAGGCGCCAGAGGGAGTCTTCGAAATGGGCATCGCGTCGCTGCTTAGCCAGGAGCTCGGACAGAGGCTCTAACGTGACTAACGTGTATGACACCCGCCGAAAGTCTTCCATGACCTCACAGTCCAGCGAAACCATAGTTCAAAAGCACTCCAGCTTTTCTCGATAGCGGACTCATGGAAAAGTTCGCAGTGCAAGACAGACAAGCCATGTTATGTTGACCATGTTTGAATACTCCAAGCCGATCTCTCTGAGGCCATCTGCGTGTCGGCTCCATGCAGGCAGTGGAGGCACATTCATAAACAGACAGCAGATGGCACTTGTTCCATCATCAAGTGTCAGAGCTGTCTGTCGGGAACAACATAATTCGGTAGCGAAAAGCTTCAAGTTATCAGCAAGCGAAGGCATCCTGCGCAGCGCTGGGTAGATTGGCCGACATGCACCTCTTGCAAGTCGAGGCTGGTTCTGTCGGACATGCTACATAGAATGATTGATTCCTGGGCTCATCGCACAGGTCCATGACTCCGCAAGGAAGATTCTGGCGTTGCGCTTGCGAGCAAATTCGGCAATTCACACTGTCAGAGCCTTAGTGGTTGCTTCCACGTGGCAACATTGCTATTTTAACAGCTGGCTTGTCAGCGCCAGAGAAAGTCGCGAGGCAGTTGCTAGAGGTCTTACCTCTATGAAGAGCCTGGTCTCGCAGCTTTGGCCCGTGCTGAGGCACTTGCTTGTCTCAGCTTGGTTGGCAGTCTTCTTAAAACACCATCCGTGCTTCGTAGAATCAGAGCCGCGAGAGCCAGGGAGCGTCTCTCCTGCAGCTCCGATGGCCTCGATGTCAAAATAGCGGCAGAGGCCACATAGATGGATGGATGTTTCTGTGAGAGCATGAACGCACATGCAATGACGCAGGCGTTGGCGTCCCTCGACTGGGAGAAACTCCTCCCCGAGCATGTTCTGAGTTCATGTGCCGACATACTCGGACCGCGACTGCACGAGGAGGACACGGAGAGCACTGCTCACCAGTACAGGGAATCGGGTTCTGCCAAGATTGTACTTGTGCTTTGGTTGGGTATGCAGCAGCTCACGGCGCAAAGCTAAACATGCCCTTCGCCATTTAAGTTGTACTGCAGCACTGCCCCTGCAGGATTGGCTAATGCGCGTGGGTGCCTGTCATGGATTGGCTGTCTTTGGTAGAAAGGCACGGCATGGTCACGGAAGAGAGCCCAGGGCATGTGGATCAGTCGCGGCCAGGCGTCCGGACCCTACCTCGATCCTATCCTGCAGCTTGTGGACGATGAAGAGGACTGATGTGCTACAATGCACGGCAGGTCTACAATTGAGGTGCGAGAGAGTTTGTCCAACCTCGAGGGCCCAGTGGTGGGGGCTGCAGCCTACGCTGTGAGCCAGCTCATGGACGGCAGAACTGGGCGATTGTCTCGAACTCAGAGGTTAGTGAGCTGTACTGTAGTTAAGTTCTGCAGTGCAGCCTCTTGCATCGGGTTTTTGCTTCAAAGGCTTGCATCGCAGCAATGATTGTGCCGTAGGCAGTATTGACACTGACCGTTTGGCAACTTTGGCTGCCAGCCACTCAAGGCCATGTTACATGTCATCGCCGCATCTGAGAATCAAATCCGTAAGAAGGCCTGTCGCTGTACCTCTCAACGCAAAGCCGCGAAGCTCATTGATTTTGAGCTCGTCTTGAACCTCGTGCAGAGCCGGCTGAGCAGCTGGAAGCAGCTCAAAAAAAGTTCCACCAACGTTCAATAAGGGCAAGGTTCTCAATGTCCTCAGGTCCAATTTCAAAGTTTATTGTCCATGCTGGCGATACAATATATCTTGGTGCATCCGATCTTCAGTTGCAGGAATATCTATGTCAGGTCGCAAAGCCGGGGAGGCTGTTCGGCATGGAACCTCTTTGGGATAGTACTGCAGATACAACGTCACGCTAGCAGTTCTGCCTCGGTCGCGATGGAGACTGGGCCAATGTTAAGGACAAAAAATGCCAGTCCATTGAGAGCCCTCGTGAACTAAGCAGACTTGCACCCAATTCTCACAGTTGGCATGAAACGGTGTTCCGGCTCGCACCTGTCCACATGCCACCCGGCATGTGACTGTCTGACTGGCTGACTGACTGGTCTTGCAGTACATCGCACTTGCGTTGGATATCTGTCTGTAGGGGTGTGGTCAAGCACGGCCAAGACCTCCTTGAGGCATGCAGGCTTGTCCACAGCATCCCAGAGCCGCCAAGGGTATTATGTTTTGTGTCATGTTGCATTGCTCGTTGGCACTGCTGGCCAAGGCTTGGCGTGGTGCGGAGGCTGGTCCTTGCAGTTGCCATTCCTGCCGATGCAAGATGATAGTTCGCAAAAAGTATGATAATTTTAACGCTACGCCGCCCGCCTCGGCTGTTTAGCGGCAGGGCGAGGGGGCAGTCGATGTTGTATACATGCTACGGGGGCCTCTCAACCCCAACCTTTAGATACCCAAGTGCGAGGAAAACGGTGGGCAAGGGGTGGGGGACGGGCCCTGGGAGGGGGGGGAGGCCGACAAATCAGGTAAAATGAAGGGAAGCCGAACGCAAAAACAGGGCAAGACGCCTGGGCCTGTGGCCTCGGCGGATTATGCACAGCTGCCTCTTTGTTGCGCTGCTGAGCGGCAATCAAGTCGAAGATCTGAACTCGTGCGATTGCACGGCGTTGGTAGTGCGGCTCGATTTCAGCATGCCTGATGTGTGCTGACTGCCGTGCCGAATCTGTTGACGCTGCAATTCAAAATAGGCTTTCTTCGATGCCGAAGTGCCGGTTCTGCGGAGGCTCCAAGCGCGCCTACCCGATGCGGAGAGCGACTCCTGGGTACGAGCAGGTGCCTGTCAGGCGAACGGGTTCCAAAGACAGACCTGTGATTCAAAGTGGGGGTGGGGCAAGCGAGAGAAAATGAGAAAAGAGCCAAGCGCGTACTGAAGCCCGGCGAAAATCATTTCTGCAGAGACGGATTCAGGGCACCCATGTGCCCACAGGGAGACAGCCCTGGCTTCACTGCTCAAGCCCTCAGGGGATCTCAGAGGGCCTACCATTTGAGTGGACGACAGTGCGACGTTCATGTGGAAGTAAAAGCCACTCTCCGAGTGCACAGGGTCGAGCGCTGTTTCTGATGACTGGGCATGTGCTGCGAAACTTCTGTTGACCCCATTGGCCCATTCTCGACGAAAGAGAGGATGCAGACGAAGAGAAGGGCTTGACTTCAGAATTAAGGCTTCAGAGCTTGACTGCGCTGCAAATTCAACTGGTCCTTCTCAGAAATGAATTCTTTGCCAGGGTCTTGGCCTGCTCGGCGTTGTTGATGATGACACCATTTCCGTCATCGCCCCGGTTGGACGAGTAGGTAACATGTTCTGCTGCGGCTTCCTTAGCATGGTGCATCTGCATCCTTGGCATGTGAGCATTCCTCGCACATCACAAACAGTTATCAGCGATGTTGTTTTTTACGTTGAAATGATGCGACCAGTCTGTAGCGAATCTCAGACCTTATACCGTCGATTCGACGTGAGCCGTAGGCAACCCTTGGCAACCCAAATCAAGCGCAGCAGCCAGGGCAATCCCTGCTCGCCCAGACTAATGTTGAGGAGTACAGAAAACTGAGACAGGGCTCGCCTCTCAATACTCCCTAATCAACACGATCCTGAGTAACCGTAGGCCTGCATGGGACGCCATGGAATGAGGTGTTGTCTGCACACCTGACGGACACAGAAGTCATCGTCGTTGAGGCAGCAGCTGAGGCACTCGGTCAGATAAAGTGCATGGCTCTTAACTGGTGCCGTAGGCGCAGGGTGAAAGCGCATGCTCCATGCAGTGCCCTCGTGCACGTTGCCTTCCACCCTGCACCTTGCGTGGTTCCTGCATTTAGTACACGTTCTCATCAGCAGAAGGACACCAGACCTTCACGGTGTTCTTGCCTCTGCTTTTACTGACTCCTGGGACGCCCGAGTAGAGTTTATGGAAAGATTCTGGTGCTGACGACACATGCTATGTCCAGGCCTTATGCAATCTGCAGATGATGAATGCCATAGACCTGAAGGCCCGTTTTGGCATGACGCGCGATGAATGCGGCAAGCCAAAAAATCTCGGATGTAGAGCACTTCCGTTCTATAGCTGAGACTGCGCTTGGCCATGCCAGGTGGTGGAAGATCAAGCCAGAGAGACCAGCAAGCGGTTGCACCATCCAGACTGGCTCACCAGGCTGCCAGAGTCTGCTACATTCTGCTATATCCAGCTCTACCAGAAACGTGCAGTCCAACGTGCGGCAATTAACCGGACAGATTCAATTGTTGAGGGGGCGGTAGTTGGGCTAGCCGGAGTAGATCTTATGGTGGTGCGCAGTCCGAGACTCCCCAATGCAGCCAGCCAGACTTGCATTCCTACAGGTGGGCGGCCTGCATTTGCTTGGGTGCACTGGGTGCTGCGGCACAACCTTACCTCCAGGAGCGTAGATGCAAGCAAATTAGTTTTCCGGCTTCTCCAAAGTAGCTGCCAGGAGTTGAAAGAGCGAGTTACTGACGAAGACGAGAACAGGGTTGTTCACGATGCTGCCAAGATGAGCCTCGCAAGGCCTGCACAGAAAGTAAGAGAGTCAAGTTAAGTTCTCGTTTGTGCCTGCAGCGATTGTGTCCGAGGCTACATGCTTTGCAGCGCAGTGAGCGCAGCCTTGACAGGGTTCAGCTGGCTCTTTCAGGGGATGGGTCGGTCAGGCACGGATAGCCACAAGGGCTGGCGTTGCTCCAGTGAAAAGCTGTATCTACTATCATTTTAGAGGTCAAAGTTTGCCTCCCGCAAGCTCGTGACACCCCGAGACAGGAGTAAGAGATGCGGTGTCCCGAGCATGCATGATCATGGACGCGATGTGCATGCCTCCCACCTAGCCTGTCTTTCAAAGGCTGTCGTCATCTTTCGTTGCTCAGCACAATGCTCTGCGGCGTAGCGTGATTGCGATGATTACGTTAACTCTCACTCCCTTGATCCTTCGTCAATGCGATGGGTCGCTGCGGGCTACCGTGGGTAGCACGTATCCATGAGAGCGCAAAATATGCCTTGCTCCGAACGAGCTCAGGGCCCGGTGTACATGTAAATGTAGGCACAGGACAGAGGCATGCCTTCTTTGCCACTTTGATTGTTCATCCCTGGCACTCACCTTCTGCACCCGTTCTGCAGGAGCTGGGAGGAGTCATCGGCTTGGTGGGCTGCATCCCTATGGTTCCTTGACGAAGGACATGACATTCATGGCTCTGTGGCGCTGAGGACACCTTCTCAGCTCGACCCCGCTGGACCAAAAGAAGCTCAACATGCCCTTGCACCTCTTCCATGAGGTCGAAGTCTCGGGAAGTGGACCCGCATTTGTTCGATTTCATTCGTGGAGACTGCAAGGAGGCAGACAAGGAGATGAGATGGAAGTGGGCGCGAGTCTCAGGAGTCACAGTGAGAGCGCAATGCCGCGCCGGCGATGCGTGTGCTATCGTGCGTTTTTACCAAGTAGTCCGAGTATTTATCAATGAAGGAACCCTGATACCGCGCGTATTGCTAGAGGAAGCGTTAAGTAGGTGAAACCTTCTGTGCAGCGCCTCATTGATGCCGGCTTCAACGTCAGCGACTCAGAGAGGCAAATTCTTTTGGCCAATTCTAAGACGTTCTGCAATCGTTCTGCTAGTATTAGGCTTGCTTAATCAAGGTGTCCTCAAAGCGGGAACGTGATCCTGCAGGGTGTGGCCATTGGATTCAGGCCTGTTCCTCAACCCACAAGTCCCATGATTAAGCTGACTGGGCCGGACTATCTGCTTGTGCAAGCCGGATGCTCTTCATGATGTTTTGGCACTTCGGAGCTAGCTTGATGAAATAGTGAGCAGTTCGGGCATCATTCAGAGAAACAAAGGGCGGTTCAAGCTCGGCTCACGACTGGTAGGCGCTGACGAAGGTACGGTAATGAATTGCATTCGCAACACGCGGCTATCAATACTACAAGCAGGATCATGCAGACTTCCGGCCTGCCAGGAGATTGAAGGCACGTGGATCAGAAGCGCTATGAGGTCACGGCACATGAGTGCACACTGGCATCGCAGTGACTAGCAAGATGGCCATCCTGAGTCCTGAACACTGCTGCAGGCACATCATCTTAAGAGAGGCCCCCTAGCAGCGCGGCCTTCGACAGGGCACTTATGTTTGGTGCTTAAAGCAAGAGCTGGGGATTTCGTGCGAACCAAACTTCAAGAGCAGACAAGGCATCCATCCGCCCTGAGCAGTGCCCTGAGCTGCAGACGCTTTGCACAATTTCAACAGTCTCAATTGCAGGCCAAGGGGATCGGCCTCTCGCTTCCAGCAACTCCTTCATCTAGTTTCTCTGTGGCGCATGGAGCCTTTCGTCTAAACAGTTCGGCATGTACGGAGCAATGGGGACAGAGACTACGTTCGCCTCAGACAATGTTTGGGTGTCTTCAGATTCTTCCTGTACACTGCGATTGTGTACGGCTCATTGATTCTTGCAGCAAGTTCATTTGCTCGCATCGGACACTACGTGCTGCAGTAGTCGAATCTCTGCCAGACTTGGATTGGCGAAGAAGCCTTTTGAAGTCTCGTCGAGAGACCTCAACGTTTCCGGCATCCCAAAAACAAAAGTCGTGCACTTGAATGTAATAGTGAACGAAGTCCCGTCTTGAGTGTTGTCTGTACCCGTACCAGAAATATAGGTCATGGGAAAGCACAATTCCGGCACACCAGGCGCACGTGCAAAATCTGCAACATCTGCGCAAACTTAGATAAGAAGCTCAGACTCGAGGAGCACACTATATAGTAGTGATATGGTAAAACTGAAAAAGAGTCTAGATTTCTCTGAATTGTTAATTTCACGAGCTACATTCAATCGTTTTCTTGTAAATCCTAGTGCTTGCGTGGCGTATAACGATATATCATCGATTTCATATTTTGTCTCATGAATTCTGGTAGTTTCACTTTTTTTGACTTTGCAGCGCTGCTCGGAGTCCGAACGTAGCGAGTCGCAGGACATGCGTATTGCACGGCGTTCAAGTAGAACACTCACTTTGTGATCCATAGCAGAGAGAAAGAAAGAGAGCGGAGCCGTGCGCCGTTCCGAAGAACCAAGCACGCACTCCAACAGCGGTGTTCCCCGGCCCGAAGACCCGAGAAGGAACTAACACAGGCTGATTGAAGGCTCATCGTATTTTCAGCATGTAAACACCAGGCCCACACCCGATATGGTAGAGAAATAACAGATTGGAGATCCAGCCTTCAGAACAGCTTATGTAAAGTTGAAATAGTGAAAGAGGCTGACATGGCGGAAGAGCCAGTGTGGTAATACAAAGTAAGCATAAGGATAAACAAACAGAATAAGTAATCAAAGACAATCAGGCATAGGGCCATGTCAAGTGATATTCAGAAATACTGCCCGTGGTGACCAAAGCTGGATCCCAGGAAGTGAACCAAAAACACCACCATGAAACAGACATAGCACAGTGCGGGATCCAGGGTGTAGGACACCTTACAAGTCAAGTGGCAGCTGAATGCCTGTGGCCATCAGTCCACCGGGCACAAAAGATTGGCTTCACCAGCTATTGAAGATCGGAAGCATAAAAATCAATCGTGGTGAGGGATGCCGCCATATGAATGAGATAAACGCCAAGCATATGACAAGATTACATGATTCAATGATAATCAGGTGATAGGAAAACCGAAGAGAAGATTGCTCAGCATTGGGATCTCAACTCACCTTACAAGTCAGCGAGCGGCAATTCGACGTGCTGCCTTCACGGCCGTCCTGCACCATGCTCTGTGAAGCCCCATACCCCAAGCCCTATAGCAGACATGCCAGCAGTATTAGTACAATTGCTGAAGCAGATTAGGCGGGCTCGGATCCTAAGCAACTGCTGAGACTTTCATGGTTGCTTCAGAGCAGATCCAGCTTGAAGGAAACGTAAGGGCCAGTGTATTCTGGCTCCGGTCCGAACTCGCACCTGTCGCTTCCAGAGGTAGAATACGCCTAGAGATGCAGTACCGATGAAGCTCAGACCACTCATCAGCGACAATGAGCAAGGGCATAAACGCTGCCAGGGGTCGCTGACACGCTGATTGAGTGAAGAAGAATCACTACGATGAAATACAGGTATCAGCATCTGGGAAAATACAAGTAAAGGAGACCGATAAGACGAGATCAATCAGCATGCAGCACATTACAAATCACGCAGCAGTATGCTGTAGGCCATCAAGGCCGTGTGGGAGGTCGTGGTGTCAAATTGGATTGAGTGCTGTCCAATCAATACCAATTCACAGCCTAAGGAGGAAGTCAGATCTCCTTACGCACATGGACTTCACTCGTGAGAGGGTCGGTACATGCAGAGGCACAGGCTTGGCAGGTGAGCCTCAGGGCAACCACACAGTACATATGAGCATAAATAAGTGATCAATGAAACAAAAGTAAGCCGTATCAGGACTTCGCACTAGAGGGTCACTCACCGTAAAACGACAGTGTCTCACGCCCGCTCAGAAAGACGAAAACCAGCCGCAATGGCCAATGAGGTCAGAGAAGTCATCCTGCAGCTGAGGTCGAGGAGCGATACAGCCCAAGTAAATAGCAACCACACTCAATCTCAGCATAGTCTTGTGCAGAGGCCAAATAAGGCTTCTGGGCATCGTTGCATATAACAAATTTCCAGCCATCTCGAAATCCCAGTGAAGTACCAGGAACACATAGGGCAGTTTTGTAGTGACCAGCAAGCATGGTAGAACCAATGTGATATATCACAAAAGCGAGCCGACAACGGACCATGTATGTAGACGTAGAATCAGTATTCTCAAACACCGGTGCGGCTACTGTTTGGCCTGGACGGATGACAACCCTATCAAAGACCTTGCTTGCTCCGGATGCAGTAGGCACGAACCGCTGAAGCTGCAAAACCATGCCATGATCACTACCAAACGTGGAAAGAGCACGGATAAACGGTTGCCAAACGTTTGGTCTGACATCATACTGACCTTCCCACATATCAATGCAAGACTGAAGATCGGTGCCCAACCTGTCCAGGACCAGAGGAACCAGCAAGGTACCACGTTCCTGAACATGAATACCATGCTCATATTCTGCTCGGGACTGCCACTGACCTGCAAAAACATTCGGAGCAGCCTTGGAGAGGAAGTGAGTAAGAAATTCGGTTGCATCATGCTGTGCATGAGCCTGGGGCCAGTCAGCAAATACCATCAGCCACGGCAGGGAAGTCAGAAGAAGAAGCATCCGGGCTCCAAGCACAACACTCAGACATCCAGAGCACCTGCCACCAACATGAGTATGGTTTTGGTATACGTATCCAAGCCAGGCAAGTGAAATGGCAACCGCGTTCGCATAACAGACGTTGTGGGGATTCTGTAACATCATGTTTGGCGCCTTGTAAAGTCGAGGAGGTCGCAGGGTAGCAAGGGCTACAGTAGAACCGGAACTTATTGTCCCAACAGCTCGCCCAGACGCTTCGCCAGAGGCGAGCGCCCCAATCTCCCCCTCCGGAACCGGCCCCCGATCAGCTTCCAAGCCGTGCAATTCACAAGTTGACGAAGCCAGTTGTGAATATTCTGTGCTTCTTCGCCCACCGTCTCGACTTCCAGAACCAGACGATAGACCTCGGTTTCCAGATTCTCCGCTATCTTGTGGTGTCCGTGACACCTCAGAATGTTCTCCGGCGTGATGGAGTCCCGCAGGTGATTCAGTCGCCTGAGTAGTCTCGCATGTTCCAGCGGCCGAACCTGATCCGTGGAAATCACTTCCTCCGTGCGCTGTTCTTGATTCCATTGGATGTATGGCCAATACAACTCGCCGCCCTGATTGAGCACAAGGCCTGTCTGAATCGTTGAGTCCCTCTTGTCCGGTTTCACGGCCGCTTCGACTCGTTCTATGGTTGCTTCCAGGAGAGTTGACAGAAGGACGATGCGAAGGGGATGGCGGGGTATCTCCGTTTCCTTGGCTTGGTTCCACGCTTGCGATACTCTGGCCAAGGGCTGAATGATGGACTCTGGACCTGTCGTGCGTAGAAAGAAGATGTATCCTTGGTTGGCTTGCTGTATCGCGATCGCATCTTCGTGCCTCAGACATAGACGACCGATGGCTGACACCAGGTTGGCCTGCTGGTTTGAAGAAGTCTGCGAGGGACCGTTGTTGCCATTCTTTGGAGTTTTGCCTTTGCCCTTGCCCTTGTCCTTCTTCCCCTTGTTCTTGCCCTTCTGCTGGGTGTCCTGGTCTGCTGTCGAGGGTGCTGATGGCATGGACGGCAATGGTTGGGAGCTCTGGGAGCCGGTCGGTGTAGCTACTGTGGAAGCCGTCATCGCTGGTTCTACTTTCGGTGCAAGCTTTGCCGTCGCTTTGAGGGCTTTCTGCTGTCCCTCCTCCTTGGCCGAAGAGTCGTCGAAAGTGCCACGTTTTGGCTGTGCACTTGTATCCATGGGAGCCGCTTGCTCCGGCATCTGGGTGGGAGACTGTGGCTTGGGAAACATTTCCGTGAAATACTTGGTTTCCTCCCGGCTGGGAGGTGCCAACTCCTGGCCCTCGCGAAGGTTCTCGTCCATCTTGCAGTATGGCCAGGTGTACCTGCATAAGAACCGGACATCTGTGTCGACCCTTGCGAGAGGGTCGACGTAGGCAATAAGGACATTGTGCACTCAAATAACTAGGTCGCACCAGGGCTCGTACTCGGGGTTCAAGTTCCTTCCACAAAGCCACGTGTGTTTTCTTGTAGTGCGAGCAAACATAATCTGAGTGCACCAGCCATTGCCTGCAAAGACAGCAGTGATGTCGAAGCTCCTGCAATACTCCAACCGCTGTACGCAGGGGTTGAAGACCATTTTGGCGAAGCTTAGCCAAGAAAGCAGAGTCCCGGACAAAGGGCTGAGTCGCTGGAGAAGGGGTCGATATGGCCGCTACTGAGTCGAACCCTGCTGTCGCTGCCGAGCAACGTGAATGCAGTAAATGTGTGTACAAATTCTGCCAGTTCTTGAAATCGCGAAGACAGAATGAGCATGTGGGCATACCATCAACTGCGTATGTGCGGACATTTTCAAGCGTAACCTGACTCCGATTCCAGTCCTCAGGCAAATCATCTGAATGCATCTTCGTTTGATGTGCTCGCAGATCCCGCATAGTGGCATAGGTGCGTTCACAGAATTCGCACGAATACGGAAGATCAGTGGAATCCGGTACAGAAGTGACATGGAGCAAATTCGTCCGTTCCACCGCTTGCTCAATCTGTTTTGATAAGGTGCCATACCAATCGACATACAACGAGTTACAGACAATATCCGATGAATCCAGATGCTGGGACAACGAAAGGTGATAATCACAAGCTCGAACTGCAACACGATGAAGATGCACACCAAGTGCCGGTATCCCCAGTCGCTGTAGCAGGTGATCGTTGGTTTCGTGAGTGAGATGTCGGGGGGCTCTTGCGATGGCGCGCATATGCCTCATGCACATCCCATGTAAGCGTTCATAACCAGATTGGCTCCAGCCGACACCTACAAGTCCATAGCAAGCAGAGGATAGAACAACAGCTCGCCACAGTTGTATGCGATGCTTCAGAGACAGCACATGGTGGCCCAAGAGAATCTTGCGAAGACGTTCATAGCTGGCCTGGGAGACACCGAACCTACGCTTCCAACTGAGGTCTTCAAATCTACCATACGAAAGGACAATACCCAGGTAATCAATCTGCTGCACCAAAGGGATGTATTCATTGCTCGTTCCCACCGGAATACGCAGCCAGCTCTCGCCTTTATACAGTGATACCCACAAACGACGAAGACTTTGAGACATAGAGCCACGCATAGACAATATAGCCTTGCTTTTCGTGGGATTTGCTTGTAGTCCGAAGGATCGTAGCAAAGAAAGAAATTTGCCAAATTGTTCCAGGGCCAGGGCCAATTCCTGAGGCTTCCGTAGTAACCAGCCCAAGTGCTTGTCATCAGCGAAGAAGACAATGTCCGGTGATATACCAGATCCCTGAACAATGTACTGAAATTCTTCATATATGAGTCCAGTGAAGAGACTCCACAGCAAAGGACTAAGCACACAGCCTTGGCGCACTCCTCTCTCTGCAGGAATGTTGACCTTCGATCCGCGGTGCTCAAGCACATAGGTGGTGCCCGTGATCCATTCCATGATACGTCCTTTCAGGTCGCCGGGAGCTGCAGTGCGATTCAAGGCCTGTTCCAGTAGATCCCACGGTGCCGTGTCAAAGGCCTGGGACAAGTCAACAGAAATTTGCAGGCATGCACAAAACTCACCGGGTTTAACATGTCCCTGGCGACGTTGGTGAAGGTTATGAGCATAGGAGGCCAAAAGATCTCGACCCCGACGACAATGATCTGTCACCTGAACTATAGCGGTGTAGGTTGAACGATAAGCCAGGTAAGCGTGTTGAGGAATGCGCCGGAGATATGTCATCGCGTAAGGTTTGAGATCTTCCGCCAAAACCTTCACATAGCACTTGGCAACAGGATCCTGGAGGCCGATTGGTCGCAATGAGGATATGGCGCCCACCTTCTTGCCCGGTTTGGGAATCAAAGCCACGTGAGTAAGATTCCAGGAGCCTGGCATCTGTTTTCGAAACTCGCGACCAAGCAAGCTGAGAACTTTCTGACCAAGCAAATCTGCAACCGCCCGAAAAGCAGGCGCAATCGGATGTGTTTTGGGTAGTGCCTTGTAGGGTGGAATGGAGGAGGCACAAACCAGAAGCTTGTCTGTCTGCGGAACATAGACATCCTCCTGCAAAGACATGTGAGGTAGAACATCAGATCGACTGAGCAGAGTGGGGCACTTCCAATTCGTTGGAAGACTCCAGACCTTGGTAAAATGTACCCGCAGTTGTTCCAGTTCTCTGGCATGAGAAATGATACTGTTGTCTTCGTCTCGGATCTGCACAGTCTGATATCTCTGCCTGGGAGCAAGACGACGTACTATACGATACAACTCATAAGGGTTGTGTGCATTCGCAGCCTCCTCTGCCTTCTGGATCTGGTCAAGATACCGAGACCTCTTCACTTGGCGACCATAAGATTGTGTGAGTTTCCTCATCGATCGAAATTTAGAAAGATGAAACCACTGTGCAAAGCACGTAGGCAAATCAAAGGCATGGCGTTGCTTGTATAACTGGGCTGATCTAAAGTGCTGCCACATAGTCCGAATGGAACCTGATACAAGCGGATGTTGCCAGGGCTGAAGTGCCTGCGATCCAGTGGGAGGGAAGTGCCGACTGCAGACCTGAAGCAAGCCCGAGCAAATGTCATCATAGGAGCTGTCCAGAAGGTTACCGACGGTCCCACTCGCATCGCAAGCAAAGGAGGCATATGCATCTGTCTGAGTGTTGTAAGCAGCAAGCATGGCCTTCTTGTCATACGGCATGACTGTCGGTTTCTTGGGCCACCAAGTGTATGGCAAAGAAAATTCCGCAAGAACAGGATGATGCTTGGTGTCCCGCCACGCCATCAAAACCTGGTCATAAACTGGTCGGGCCTGTTTGGCACGTGCAGTGGCATCATGTTGCCGGACCAGAATATAATCAATTTGAGTGCGACTGTCGCAATGTTGATATGTGTAGCATGGCCGACAATGAAAAGTGTTGACCGCTTGCAAGGAGTGTCGCTCAAGAATGCGCAATAGTGTATTATTGGCTGCAGTGTGCTCAGATTGTGTTGGATATGGTGTAACGAGGGAGCTGCCGGTATGAGGTGGGGCAAAAGGCAATGCGATATTGAAATCACCTCCAACAGCCAGAAAGTTACGACCCGGCATTGATTGAACAACCGCATCGAGACGCTGAAATAATCTTCTGCGCTTGTCTTGGATAGTCCGACTGGGATCCGATGTGGTGGGATGTTGATATACATGGACAATATCCAAGTTGCGATGAGGGAGATCAACCCGCACATGTGTCAGCCGCCCTTGTAGTACGTTGTGCACACGAACATGATCCGGAGTGACACCTGGAATGCGAATAAGAGTGAGCAGGCCAGCATATCGATCCTGCGAAGATTCAGATACCCCATTATGGAAGGCCAACCAAGACCCGTGGCGATATTCGGACGTAAATCTCCAGTGCGATTCTTGTATCAGGATAACATGAGGTCGGGAGGAAGCCGGCAGCGTGTCCGTCCACAGTAAAAACTCCTGTAGGACACCAGAACTCAAGCCACTGCTGTTCCAGGTAATAAAGTTAATTGAGCGAGAATGATGATTCGTCTGTGTACCACTAAACGCACCTTTCCTTGGTTTAGAAGTAGAAAACGCAGGAGAGAACGAGACGGAAGGACCTTGAACTTGAAGCGATTTCGCTGTGCACCATCGTCCCTTATAAAACGTGCCCCCAACTGCCTGTGCCCGCTGCTGGGCTCGGTGAAACGCTCTCTTCCCATGCCGTGTGGTAGGGCTTCCGCCGCTTGTCACAGTCGCGCTTGGCTCCTGTGATCCTGCCCCTGTGGCGTCAGAGGCAACCCTCGCTCCTACGACCCCATTGATAACAAAGTAGAAAAGAAGAAAACGAAACCAGACCAGTCGAAAAGAAGAGTTAGAGGAGCACCTGGTGCTGGCCTGTGGGTCGTTCCGGGACTTGGGACCCGGAGGCTCATTCGAAGAAGGCGTGGTCGTCCCAATGTAATGAAAGATGATACAAACTGAAGAACCAAAATATGGAAGACTATTCAGATACCGCAGATGCTGCCAGTAAAAATAGGAGCGTGTAGTGTGCATCCACTGCCACAAATGATCGATCCGGTAGTCAGGCTGTGCAAATGAAAAAGTGATGGCAGCAATATTGCAGCTCAACCTGATCAACCGGAGGCACCATGCCTGCAGCAGCTTCTGAACTCCATCAATGCAGAAGTATAACCTGACCATCAGCAACCAGAAGACACAAAGGATACTGCTCTCCAGCCAGATCATAATGTGAACATCCGGAGAATGTTGAGGCAAAGACCGTAGCTGGTGAAGTTGACCTGGGAGGGCAATGAAGCGTGATGCGAAAGCTGTAAAGGTACAATTTGCCCGCCATGTCATGCACTCCTGTCTGCGAAAAAGAGATGGCTTTTCTGTATACGCAGAGGAGGCAGGAGCTCGTTCGATGGGTTCTGCGGTAGAGTCTCCAGCTGTAGCAGTCGAATTTGCAGCATCATCAGCAGCCCTTTGCTGCACCAAGAGGGCCTGTTGCTTGATCTGTGCACGTCTTTTGGCGGCGTATTGCTGCATGGCTAGAAGCTGCTGCTGTCGTTGTACCATGATGTCATCCTGCCCGGGCGGCACCATTGAGGAAGAGGAAGAGGCTTCAGCTTGTGTACGAGAGGAGCCACCGGTAGTACCAGAGGTCCCCTCAGCCCTGGCTGTTGTCGCTGGCAGAATAGGTGCTGCTTCAGGATCTATGCGGCCGCTGCGTGCAAAAGATTCTCGAATGGAACCTTTCTTGCCGCCAGAAGGCTTAGGCTGCGAAGGCACAGGCTTGGGAGTCTTGGAGGAAATGGCCTTCTGCGGGCGCGCTCGGTGTTTGGAATCAGCTGAGAGAGCTTGATCAACCGTAGCCACTGATGCAGGCTCAGGCATTTCCTTGTCCCCAGTGTCCCCAGTGTCGGTCACCTTCTCTTCGCGGGCCTCCTTCATCTTATTGTACGCTTTGGTGGCTGCCTTCTGGGCCCTTTTCATGGACCTGATTTCCTTGGCCGACATCTTTCGCAAAGAGCTGTTTGAAGCCGGCTTCGCAGACCGACGGTTCCCAGCCTCCATGGCATCTGTGAGAATCAAGGGTGTCGAACTGGAAGCACTTGGCGGTACAGCTTCTGCTGACCGCCGCAGACGAGGTAGGGGCTGGCGTAGCCTGGCACCCTTCACCTGAAGAATCCTCCTTCGGCGTTGAAGGGGAACTCGAGTGCTTGTCGGCGGTGTCGTAGAAGGTCGCGGCCTCTTCCTTGGTAAGGTTGGCCTTTGATCCCAGGCCTTTTTGGGCTCTGGGTGCGCAGGAGAGTACATAGCAAGCAGGCGACTCCGAGCTAAAGAGATGTGTTGACCCAGCCAGGGAAACATAGAATAAATTGTATAAATTGTATGCAGCCAAACACCTAGACACTGCTTCCCAGACACAATCAGCAGGGCTGGCATGTATGTAATGGTTCTCACATGCTCCCATGGCTGGAGAAACCAGACTGCAGACCAAATATCATGACAGTGCTTCAAGCTCCACACAACCAACCGAGTGCAAAAGATCAAAAGGGTGCACTGAGCCGGCTGAGACACCAGCCAGATTGAACAACGGCTGTGCAGGGTGTAGAGGTGGAATCGTACCTGGCGGGTAGGTCGGGTTGTCATCGACCAAAAACCATCACACCAGTACATCCAGATGGCCAGTTGCACTGGGTCAAAGAGCGTCAGAAGAGATATGACCTGCCATCGGAACATCGATATTGCCATTGCAATCGCGAGGACATACCACCAAATCCAGACGAATGACACATAAGAGTCGGGCAGCAATCGGCACAAGTCTGAGTGAATACTTTGCATCGAGCGGTGTACGACCTGGGCATAGTTGGGTACTGCCGAAGAAAATATATACCACCAGGGCACAGAGCATACAGCTGTAGGCAAGTACCATCGAAGGGGGCTCAGGCTGTGACGTTGGCAATCCCAATCAACCTGAGCGAGAAGGAGGTACCAATAGGAAAACTCTCGCTCCAAGTTGCTTGCGTGTACAGCAGAATATAAGCAGTCCCACACCCATTTTTCAATCTGCCAATTGCAAGTCTCAGAAGAAAATACAGATGCTATGACAGACGTTCCATCAAATAGGGCCAGTATATGCCACTGCAGCTGAGCCCTGGCAAAGGCCACAGAAGATGCAAATATGTCAGTCGTTGTCGGAGGGATTGAACTCTTGACTGACAATATTGCGTGCAATGGCAGACAGCCTTTCAGAGTCGGAGCTCGAATTGCAGTCATAGCCCAATGCATCAGAGTTATCAGATAGATCAGGGTCATTGAGGTCCACGGACTGTCGTTGCACCATTGGTCGCAGAGGGCTGAGAGGCACTGGATCCGTCTGAGTGGCCGTGCTGCTAGAGGCAGGCTTGCGCAATTGCATACCTCCTCTCCACAAGAAGGCAAAGCCCCGGGCTCGGCCTTTCGGTTGAGTTCGCGGGACCTTACGGACGCGAACAATGCGGAAAGCGCCCTTGATTTGTCCTCGTAGAGAACCAGCCAACTGCACATGTGGAGCCTGAGAAGGTCTGGGCTTGGCCTTGGCCTTAACCAGTGGCTCCGTAGAAAAGCGAGCTGTATCGAAAGTGCTCGGATAGGAGCCAGCACCAGCCGGAGATCTGGAGACCGCATGTGGCACCAATGGCTCAGCCACCGCATCCAATCCAGAGGCAGCAGCCACGGCTTCAACCGGATCAGCAAACTCATCAATTTCATATAGAGACTGGTGTACACGCTGCGAAGCCAGCTGCTGCCTGATTTGAGTAGGCAAATCGCTATAATCAGAGCTTCCAGCCATTGCAAGACCGGGTACCAGGTAACCAGAGAAATACTCCAGTTCAGCACACCACAGAAGGAATTATGCATACAACTTGCCGCTGACCATGGATACAAAATACCACGTGCATACCAATGCACTAGAAACATCTGCTCTGAAACACACACAGTTGTCTGCAATCTTGAAGAGAAATATCGGAAAACAGCATGTAGCATAGTGGCTGCAATGCAAGTGGGTATCGTGTACAGCTCTCCGGGGCACATACCAATACAACAAA